GTGATATTGAGTTTTTCGATGAAAACACACATGAGTGGAAGCTGCATCCCTGTCGACTATCCGAGCCGAGATATCTCTTTGGCTGTGCGGTGATGACGACGAAAAATGGTAAAATACCTGATAAAGCGATAATTTTCTGAGATAATTCGAGAGCCAGCAGCCATCAATAAGAGAGCATTGATTGTTACTGTGTACGAACTACTGTGTATATGGAGCTTGCGTGTGAAATTTCGAAAAGTGAGTTTTGTTCTATAGGTTCCAATATTACTGGTCAAGTGGCGTTAACTTCCGATACGCCGGACAACGATATAGCCGACGCTTCTCCAACAGAATGAGGGGCCGCGAGTTGCCATTTCCAGTTGCGCGGACATTGTTGTGATACAATGAGCAATGTCAGCAGTGACCACGGTCTGCTCGGAAAACGTTTATTGCATATAGTTTTTCTTGAAGAAAGCAGTTTGGGTGCTATTTTCGAGTTCTTCACGGGTGTGGTTAGTTCTGGTGTACTAGGTAGTTCTGATCTAACATATTGACGTAAAGAGCTGTTAGCTTGCATCTTGTGAGTCTCAAACATCGGCAAAACTGATGCCATAAAGGCACAAAACATCCACGGCAGGATTGCTGATGTACACGGTAAAAAATAACCGGCGTAAAAAACTGCTCAGCGACCTCTGTTCAAAGTTTTAAACAGTTGATACCTACTATAGAGGACGTAGATATCATCCTTGAAGTGCTGAATGCGCAGTACATTTCCCACTGAGAACACCGGATGGCACAGTTCCTGCGGGTCATGCCGGTGGGAATATGCATGTGCGAAACTAATGCGCTGACTTCCATAGTGACGATAGGACTCAGTCATCTTTTCAGTAATTTTGCCTGCGTTTCCTGCATGGTTGTGCGATTCCATATTATCACTAAACAAACCGTCGGCAGCACCATTAACTTTCTGTTGTAGATACCAGGCAATAGTTGCCCGAATGTTTGATATTCCTTCCTTTACAAATTATCATATGGTGGCTTTGACAGTTTGACTGAACTGACCGTAAATCGTGAAACAAGTTTACAGTTAACAAACCAGTCGAAAAAGAGAGCTGGATCATAAACTGATATATATTTTTACGATGGCAAATAGCAACCGCGTCAGTTTGACGAACTCCCTCCCGGATAAACCGCCAAAGGCCTTCTCGGTCGTACCGGCACGCTTCTTCCGGCTTATGCAGTTAATCGGACTATGCCCGTATGGAACTTCGAGTTCCCGCTTATCCGAACAATCGTACAAGATTAACGGGTGGCTAGCCTTATGGTCGGCCATTCTGTCTGCCGGTCTGTGGGTTCTGGCTTCCAACTGGATCACCGGATACGTGATTATTTATCTGGATCAACTCACACAGCTGCAGTTCTTCGTCTTGATATCGTTCCTCTTCAAAGTGGCACTTGTATTGCAGGGCCCACTGATTCAAACCATCGCCATCATACAACTCAAGAAGTTACCCGGTCTTTTAGCCGAAATGACCAGTGACCTTTGGGACATGGACCACACAGGAAATACCCGCAGAGTCGTGCTGGTTATCGCTTGGTCGTGGATTAGTCAGTGCGTGGATATGACAGGTTTTTGGCAGTCGTTCATTCCCGTTATGGAGCCCTTCCGTACTGTCTTTCAAGAATGGGCTCGCTACGTTACAAGAGATCCGCACTATCTTCTCCCAGATTGGGCGTGTTTGGTAGCCAATGGGCTGTGTTTGTGTACCTGCTTGTTGTATCAAACCGTGTGTGTGGCGCTGTTGAAAATTGTTTTGCTGGCATTAAGAGCCGGTTATGGAGCAGTGAGTGATAGGATCAAAGCGCTTAATGATTTCGGCCAATCAGACAAAAGCGTAGCGTTCATAATGCAAGAAATCAAACAAATGCGGCAGCGCTACCGCATATTGCAGTGCCACACCGTCAGTGTGGATGAAATCTTTTCGTCCATTGTATTGGTGGTGTGGGTTTCTCAGTACATGGGGTTGATCGCCGCATGCAGTACAGCGTTACAGGTTTCGGGAAACGGTCACGATAAGAACTTGACTGTTGCTATCGATTCTTCGACCAAAATTATGGTGTATTGCTCGGGGCTGCTGGGCTTTCTCAATATGATCATCACAGTATTTATTGCGGTCTCCACTCACGAAAAGGTATTTGTACCACGTTTTGTTAGACGCTGGTTCTAATAACCAAATTACCGACAGTACCAACAGGTATTCGTTAATAAGGTTCTGATAATTTACGCGATAATAACGTACTGCACATTACTCAAGAATACCGAAAATGTACCCCAATACAGTACTTATTTAACAGCTGGAATACAGGAACGTAGTAGTTATAATCTTTCTTATGGCGCGATATCTCATAATTCTTTTGCTTCTTATTGTCGAATTATATGTGCTTTTTATAATATCACAAACGTGAATGGCATTTTTGCTATCTTGTCATCCAAAACGTCAATAAACGAATAAAAGTATAATTTTCTTTGGTTCAGTTTTCAGTCAATACCGTCGCCCAGTAGGATAATCGACAATACCCAAATTGTGTTTTCTCTAATAGGCGCAATCGGTTCGATTTGCTTTACGTAAGCTTATGTCTCGCGTCCAAATTAACGAGATTCAAACGGAATGCGCCCTCTTTCTGGCGGATTGCGAACCGCTGGATGGATCAGTATCGGCTGGGGGATTTTTCTATATCACCAAGGAATTTGTTGCAGCGGTAAGCAATTTTATCCATCGAAACTCTGTAAACAGTTGAGCAGCATCTGATGTTTGAACCGGATTTGACTATTTAGCTGACCGAGTTGACCTTGACGTACGCGCTGGTAATTTATCAAACCCGAGATACCAAAACCGACATCAGTGAAGTGGCTCACAAACACCAGGTGGAGAAAATTACTGATCGCCTAAACGAAGTTTGGGATATGCTGCAGCAGACTGTGACCCGAGCGAATAGCAGCACTGGCGACTATCATAATTATACTGCTGAAGGAGTCGAACATAACATTCGTACCTGGGGAGCAGCTTAAATATTTTAACGATACTATTGCTTGAAGACCATGCTGATTAATTAGCTAAATTTTGTAAGCGCGCACATTTTATCTGACGTTAAAAAATTTTTACTGTCAGTACTCGTATGCAACGGTTACATTTCGGAAAATTTCTCATGGGCTTCGGCAATTTGCAAATATTATTCCATTTTCCGTCCATACAAATGTTGCACTGGGATTAGAATGATGTGATTGAGTCTTAAAACCTGCACGACTGCGAATAACAGAAAACGCTGCTTGTCACACTCTTAGTTGCATTAAGATGTGACGTTACTTACGAATTTTAATCGGTTCTTTACACATACATTGGTGAAACAGAAAATCACGCGGTAAATAGTTAAATTTAAATAGTTAAATTTAACAGTTTAATGTTCACAATTAAAATTTTGCATCGACTCAAAAAGTTTGACGGTTTAATTCCAATATCATTAGACAATAAATTAATGCTGCGTGTGAATCTTGGAAACTGGAGTCCGGTTGTGAAGAGCTACCTCTGGACCTGGCCCGTGTCCATCAATGTGTATGGGATAACTCCGTTATTCAGAAGGATGTCGATACATTGTGGAGTAACATTGGTGACAATAAACAGGAGGAAGCACGCTTGAGAGCAGTCAGCACTAAATACGCAGGGGATTGGCTTAGCGCTCTTCCGGCGAAAGTATTCGGCAATTTTTTGGACGACCAAACATTTCGCATTTCCGTTGGCCTATAGTTGAGTGCTAAAATTGTTGAGTGCCATTCGTGTACCAGATGTGGAAAGGATGTAGCAGAAAGTGGTTAGCATGGGCTTTCCTGTAAGAAGTGTATCGGAAGAAGGGAGCGCCATAATAACGGTATAAACGACATCATACTCAAAGCACTGTGCAATGCCTGAATCGAGTCGTATCCGGAGCCTGTGGGTTTTGTGCGAGAGAACGGAAAACGACCGGACGGAGCCACGCGTTGGAAATGGTACCGCGGAACAGCCGCTAGTGTGGGACGTGACGTGCAGAGACACGATGTGCAATTCATACAATGATGCGACCTCAAAGTGTGCTGGCGCCGCCGCCGAACTGGCTTGCCGGGAGAAGATTGGAAAATACAACTCGCTTACTGATCGCTGCAATTTTGTTCCCGTTGCATGTGAGACTTTTGGCACTTGGTGTGAGACCGGCATTGTTACGTTAAAGCAGATTGGAAAGAAGTTGTTTTAATGACGGGCGAGAGCCGCTCTACTTGTTTTTTGTTTCAGCGTTTAAGTTTGGAAATAATGCGTGGGAATGCCATGAGCGTGTTATGCACGGTCCCTTCTCGTGCCAACTGGGACAAATTTTTCATTTGAATGTATTTTTGTGAGCGATGCTCGTCTCCTTACATATTGCAAATAAAGTGTACAGTTAATTAATGCTGTACAAATGGCTGTGATATTTACGGAGATACCAAGCTGTACACATTTACAAAAACTCTTCGAGATTGGAGAAGTGATGCAGTATGGGGAAGAAAAAGTCAGCAGACTCAGCACTCGTACGACAAGGGGAGAACGTCGACAAAACGACGGACTGTGCTTATAAAAACAAAGTACGAGTAAATGCAGAAACAGTTTGTAGGCTTTAATAAGCCTTCCGGTCGGACAAGCCTATCAGTTTCGAATTCGTTCAAGTACAGTAGCCGTTTCAATGGCTGCAGGCGGCGATTATGCTGGTTTTCATTCGAATGACAGTTCATCATGTATCATGCCGGCCTCCATACTTCTTGTGGTTGTGTACGTTAATACCGCAAAACGTTAAGCATTTTATCGCACTATATCAAAATGTAGTAGACACAAATAATGCCTCCCAGGCAAATTTCTGGGAGGTTATTGATCTGACCAGTAAATTGATGTCAGAATACCGCATTTCAAGCGTACATATATGGATTACTCACAGTATTAGTATTCAGAAGTCGCCTCAGTATAAAAGCTTCTGTTATATTACTATATTTTCTCGTTTACGACTGGACAACCCACTTTCTCAAATTCACTTTCTTCGAACAGCTTTGCATCCGTGATCCGATATCTGCAAAATGCTTTGCATTTCCGCCTTTTTCTGGTTTGGTACGTCATACTACGATGCAATTGTACATCGTTTTTATGACTGTTGTTAAGCTTACATAGTAGGAGTTTAAGCGATAGTAATTTAAAAATCAGAGGCAAACTTTGAGCGATTCATGTCCTTTTAGTGTCCGTGTGTATCATTGCAACGTCATCACAGCAATGTTCCCCTTCTCTTCCAACCACCTTGCAGGGCTTAGGCGGAGATATTCCTAAACAAGTAAAAATCTTTACTGCTCTTTATCTGTACACACTGGCACGGTTCGTGCAACCCCTTGTATACTAAGTTGCCGCTAAAATTGAAAAAAAACCTTTAGGCGGATGGTGTTTGGTTTGTGTATCGTAAAATGGGAGGAAGCTATCCCACTGCAGCACAGATACAGATAACCAGCGTAGTACCCTCTGCCGACCCGGTTACCAGTCAACCTGGTTATCTGCAGTGGTGGCAAATCTTCCCTGATTCATCCGGCACACCGTGTGTATACCGGTTTTGGACGGGGGCCTATTCCAACAGCGGACAACAAATTGGGGATCTGGGTGGATCTGAAGAAAATTATATTATGCGTAAGATCTTGTCTCGCGTCAGATGTACAGGTCAGTGTAATTATTCTGAATGCCATCAAAGATATTGCTGCAGGCCCAACGGATTTCGTCGTTCTGTATCATGACTACCAGAATCTTATGGTCAGTTATGGCTGCAGTAAGTCGCAACCGGACAATATCCACTGTGCCACGCCCACCATCATTGCTCAAACTCGAAAGCGACCGGATCAGCTTTCGGCAGCGGAAATGGACCAGTTTGACGGCATCATTAACGCCGCCTTCGCGAAATATTGCGTTACGGTGCAGAATATACCGAAGGATTCTTACGGGCCAAAGGGAACGTGTGCCGCTGTTGATCCACCCTTCTGTATTGCACAGGATATTCAGGGAATGAAGAACACCATCGTGAACTCAACAAGTACAAACAATTTTAATTCAAAGCACCAGAACCTCTTTTCATAACATAATTAACATTTGGCCACACATTCACCAAAAAGCGATGAACTTACCGTTAAGTACGGTACTGGTTTATACTTGTAGTAATACTGGTTTTGTTAATTTAAGTTGTGAGCGCAAAAATTGTAAACGCCATTTTTTAATAGGTTCACCGGCAAGCAGTTCTTCATCAACTTACGGTGGCAGTTCAACGGCTACCGGAGGTAAATGGCCGAATTCCGTCCCATCTCTTGGTCGAATTGATAACACGCTGGTATTTATTAATATTACTAAATTAGCATTTATGCACGCTTTGGTAAAAGTACTGCTACAAGTGGTCACTGATTACTGCACCATGTCAGCAGCTCAGATCAACTACAATCTACACATCCGATTTGCCATCATTAACGTTGTATTGCAGCTCAACGGAACATTTTACATTTACCGGCGAATTTTCTCACCCGAAGCCGATCCAGTAAATCAGGTCTACGTTTTTCACGATCTGGGCGCCTCCGCGTCTCCTCTGATCAACGCTTCGGCTCGCACAGTGTGGGTGGAATATTCCAATTATGCCGGTCTCAATTCTTCCCAGTGCGTCAATGGTTTATTTGTGGGAGAAGTGCAGGACACCGGACTCCTAACCGGTCTGGTCATTCCCTACACTACCGCCGGGGCTGAACGTAAGCCACAAAGTATCAACGCCTGTTCTGTATGGTCGCCACGAAAACATATTGTTCCTTGTAGAACCTTTTACATCCATGTTCTGGTATGCTGACACCACGCAGTTCCTGTTTTATGGTTGCGGTGCTCAAAATCTGCAGACCGGTATCTGTGATGCGCCGGTTATTGGACACTGCACTCGCACCAATCCCTTGCAAATGTCGCAGGCGGAGAAAGATGCTCTGGACGCTATAGAGGACCGGTTCTTGAGTACCTACGGATGCAGTGCCGCTAAAGATGTTCCGCTAATGGTCCATACTGCGGATAAGCCGATGTGTCCCATGCTGCCGCCTACCGAGTGCATGCAGAACCACATTACCGGATACCAACAAGTTCTGGCCGCTGTAAATGTGCAGAGTGTTTACTGATACGAGCATCTTTGTTAACGTTGCTTTCATATTAATGCTCTGAATCTGTATACAACAGGATTTACATTGTATCAAGAAAAAAGGATTTATCTTCCAGTGACCGCAGTTGTTGTGACCATTTTGATTGTCTGTTGTCAGTTTGTTCCCAGTGCGCGGGTTCTTATCCTTTATTAATGCCGTATAGATACTGCATAGGGAAAAACGCTGCGCAATGAGCACGTCAGCTTATTGATTTCATGCAAAAATCTTGCCGGGTCGACCCGTCGTCACTGCGCAGGTCGTGCACTGCCTCACATTCTATCAAACTGAACTGAATCAATCTGCAGCATCTTTGAACAGGATATGTACATGCATGTATACGAATGTTTTACACAAGTGTTATTACCCGTCAACGGTTCCACGGTGACTTTACTCTTCGCGGGACTCCCAAATTTTAGCGATACGCGCATAGCGCGTGATAAGCTTTGCAACCAGCTTTTCCGGGATCGCAGAAAAGTTTTGAGCAGATAATTTTTCAACGCTTCTTGAAATAATCGTTTGTTTTTCTCATCAGCTAAAGCCTAGTAACTGATTTGGTCTTCGAAATGATCATTCACAACGGACTCCTGGACCTCAAGTGCCTCGGTCGCACTACTAGCGTGATCGGATTGCTGGTTTTCTCCTTAACTATCGCAAGTCAGTTGAGTAGAACCCTTCCCAGTAATACTGATTTTGATTACCTTTTACCGGGTTTTCAAAATAGTAGAATTACTGTTGTATGAGATGAAAAAGATATTTACATGCAGAAAGTACTGTAATTCAAAAGATATTACCTCGTTTATGGCAAAATTTGTACAGGAAAGCCAGGCATAATAAATTAATAATACAGTATGTACAGAGTACTTCTTTAAATGGCTGCTCAGTATTCGCGCATATGGCTTAGTTTGCCTAGAAGTACACAATTTATAAACGATGCTTATAAGTTAGTATAAACTTCTGGAAAACTCGAAAATGAACTTTTATCTGCAAATTATCATCTTTTTCGCACATGATCTTCTATAGAATTATACAGTACGCAACATACAGAGCACTTTGTACGCTTACTCAAACAGTACAACCATCGGGTTACCATTATAGTTTTCGCAAATTCCCCTGTAATATAGCAGAGCAACAGATTGTGGCGAAAATGTCATAATTATTAAATGAACCGCTTAACGCTTCATGGATCTTCTTCTGGACAAACCATTGACTATACTGAGTTTTCAGCGACGTGTATGCTCCCGTACCCGGAGTATGGTGTTCTGCACTTTTTCAACTTTTCCACAGCATTCGTTTTAATGATCGCCGGACGCACAGCTGTTAACAGTGCGTCTAATGAAGCAGCAAATCCGGCCGCGGCGATTGCTGAAGGTTTTTGGCTGAGCATTTATTTTTTGCTGTCCCCCCTGCTGGCGATCTTTTTGGGAACGTTCGAGGCACCAGTTACCGGCGGCAGCTTAGCCAATCAAGTGGTCAGGCAGATCCGCACCCAGGACTGGGGCGATCTCAGTCCCACCGACGGACAGGTGGACGCTCTCGATTGGCTGTACGCCATAATCAATGCAGGCTACGCGGTCGAATATCTGATACTGATGTTTGGGGTGACCTTAGCGACCGTCATCTGGTTTCAACGCGCTCAAGCGGCAGCTCGAATGGAGGAAGCAGATGGAGCGAGAGAAGAACTGGAACCGTGAAGCGAGCGTGATGCTCTGGAGACCCGTCGCGACCGGATGAGCATGCCGGTTGGTGGCTCGATCGCCGTGGTGGACAACGCCTTGCTTATGGTCCCATGAATATTTTGCGCGCGAATGCCAAATGACTTCGTAAAAAAACGTTAGTTCTCAACTTAGTCTAGTATAATATAACCGTTATTCTATTGAAATCCAGTTTAAGCGCTTGCAGTACTCGTACTATGTAACACTTTATGTAAGTAACAGACTGCTCTTGCCTTTTGAGTTTCTGATAATAATCGTCTCCTTGGTTTCTGCTTTTTACCTGCAGTTTTTAATGGGTCTAGTTTTGGACAAATAAAAAATAAGAAGGCAGGACTATGCAATCACCAGTGCAGTGTAACATACAGAACGCTACGGGTAGTGCTTTATCGACCGGAAGTCCATTTGATACGTCCGCGTTATATCGTTGATACTCAAAGGTCACGACTTCACTCATTTGAATCCACAGTCCTTACAGGTGGGTAATCTCTATGGGCAATTCGGCATCCTTGTGGATACGCTGATTGGCACTCGAGCTGATCGTAGTAGTATTAGTGGCACGGCGATGTTTGATGACTTTATCGTTTCGATGTAAAGAAGGCGGGCACGGTTCTGGCTTTTCGGGGGTCGAGCATACAGAGCACGTAGCAAAATGTAGAAAACGCCGGAGAAACGCACGACTAACACCGCAATACACGTAGAAATTTAGCGAATAGTTGGCATAGAGAAATTGTAGAATGATGGAGAGGAAAACGGCATACTGCTCATCCGACATATGCACAATGCAGTCGTTCTCCAGTTCTAGTAAGGCATACCAGGCGATGTGCGGGATGGTCGTCAAGAGGAATAGAACAACTGAAGCCGGTAGTAGGGTCATAGTCGTGCACTTTATTGTATCGTTGCCAGAGACGTGTGTCTGTACTGATGGCTCTTCTTGGCTGCGCTGATTCGCTACCGTGTTGTGATCGCTGGAAGTAGTGTTCTGTTTTATGGACGTCACAAGTTTGCGAGTTCGCCACGACACTGCGGCGACAAACGTGTTTGTAATAAAAATAATGAGAAATGTCAGTATCGCATTGACAACCTGCAACAAAAAAGAATCCCTTCACAATTCCTGATAGGGAGGCCAAAGGTGAATTAGGACAGAATATCTCAACAAACATGACCTTTACATTCTTAAAATGCTAGCGTAGAGCACATCTTATAGTAGGTATTTATGATAATTGAAGGGCGCATTTCACTGCTGAATGTTTCTTTTCTGCACCATAGTTAATACCATTCCATTATAATGAACATCCTGCCAAATCTTTAGCCACTGGGGAAATCCTTTTCGACCGGGCCGGGTGACGTATTCCACGAGAGGAAACAGTGATGCAGCACAGGCCAGCACCGCGATGCACCCGATGCCCATCCGAATGCGGCATCTGCCGTATAATGCCGAACATTTAAACGGGTTCAAGGTACTTGTCAGCCGCATTATGCTGAAGAAAACCAAACTCCTGTAAAAGTCGCATCCCAATATGTTGAAAAACATCCCAGTTGGCTATAGCTTGGTGATGGATTTTTAAATACGTACCAGTCTGAGCAGTTAGAGCCAAAGTTGCTTAAAAATTCACTAGCGACGCGAATTGAACGCGTAAATGCGGTAGTCCTGTTCAAGGACAATGGCTCGGGAGATCCAGTGGCAGTATTGAAACCGATGTACTCCTGAGCGCATAAAGATAAGCAAAGTTTATTATGTATGTACATGTACAGGCAATTTATTTAGACTTACATATACAGACATAATGAACCAAGCCCACCTGAAATCGTAAAACATTACAGTAAGATACCCTATGCAGTTAAAACTTAATACTTTTAACGTTTCCTGAACACAGACAATTAGCAGCCCAATACAGTCGCATACATGGTTAACAAATCGAAATAGGCAATGGCCAAAATAAAGACAGCCTGGAAATTCTGGATTTTCCTCAAAAGCAGAATGTTGAGAATATTTCCAATGGTGCAGATGCTGAGCCAGATAGGATGTACATAATGCTCGGTGTACTTGAAAGCAGATTGTTTCCAGATTAGTTCGTAATTCCTAACCGGCCATCCACAGTTGGTAATATTGGTCGCCATATCGTTGCCGGGCATTTCGTAAAATATCTTATGCATTACTTAGTCGACAGATGCTACATTCGGTTCGAGCGTTATCATTCAAATCGCTGTGGTTGCACGATTCACCAATAGACCGCCATGATCAACAACACAGACAACAAGATAACAAAGCGGGAAGAAAACGGGAAGCTTGTTATGTTGCGGAACGGAAGTATCGATTACCTAACAAATTGACCTATAGTCTGTTTGCCGGATTTTAGTGACGTAAACTCTGACTAACGGTATCCAAACCAGTCCCAGCGGGTATGGCTCAGCAACCACCTGACATAAATTCTACACACGTTCCAGATATGTATCCGTGACTACTATCCGTGACAGAATTAATCAGGTCCTCTATCATCACTGTTAAATGCAGCAAATCAGCGTAATCATTATCAAACAGATGCGGCAAAGGTCAAATCCTTACTGTGATTCATACAAAAACCAGATTAACTACCCGATCATCTGCGTTCGAAAGCTGAAATTGCAGGTAGAAGCAACCTTACAACCTCGATACCAAAATAATGAACGAGCGTATTTCTGGATCACGTACACTTTAACTAATACGTACGCCCTTAACTTGTACTTACTTAACTCTACTTAACTCTACTTGTACTTACTTTTTCCAACGAGTACGAGTGCACTGTATAGAGTATACATAGTATTACGTATAGCATTGTATGTACAAGTACAATGCAATAATCTGCGTCAGTATGTCTCTGCTGAGTAGAATTATACTGGCCAGAATCTGCTGCATCATGCCATGACATAGAGTGGATATGGCGGCGACAATCGCGTGCCGCGAATCATGCCACGCTGGATATTGCTATTAATTTTCTCATTTATTCATGCCCATGACATTGTGTGTAGTCGACAAATAGTCTTGTTTACGCGTAGGTATATTCCCATCTCCGGAATGCCAACCGCTCGTTTAGGCGTGGGCCGACTGGGAATAAACAAAACACATTTTACGGTCGATAGAATTCACTTATGTTATCGACAAGCTTCCTGTGAACGAATAAGGTCACGCTAATCCGGATGGGAATAACAATTCTGCGTGCAAATCCAATACTATTCTGCGCTTCTCTAACTTTTCGACTTTACGATTACTGCAGTCCAGTCGTTAAGAAAACAGCCTAAGAAAAACCTAAGAAAAACCTAAGAAAACAGACAGAAACTCTCTCGAGAAATGTTTTGCAAAATTTCTTAAGAAATTGCGACTGGGCAGTGCTCGAAATGATCATTATAGCAGACCTCGCGAGATAAATTGGCACTCTGTTGAACTGCGTCGAATTAAAACCTCTCTGAGTGTTACCTATAAGCTTTTGTTTGGTATTATGCCTTTCGGCAACTGTTTTTATGTTTCTTATGAGCCAGTTACTGCCGTCAGTACTGTTGCACTAGGTAAGTGAGGTAACACCCGGCGGCCGGCATGCAGACCGGATGTTGCGCCATCCATTTCCCATTCAAGCCGCCACGACATGTTTTCGCGGGATCTAAGTACCAGCTACTGAAGACTCATTCTCATGGGTGACTGCCAAGATTTGGAACGACCTTGATTTGGATGTATTGTCCTACCGTTCAATACACACCTTCCAAGCAGCACTGGAAGAAATCCCTTGGAAAGAAATTGCCTTCGTAAAAGACCTTTTGCCAACTGAAAATCTTCACCTTTGTTAATGTCTCTAGAATTTTACTATTTTTTTCTATTGCCAAATGTTTTTTGCTTTTTTTTAGATGTTTAACCTGTCTATAGATCCTGATAAAAAGTGATTCCTTGTATCTGTAGACATTACTGTAAGCCATTAAAACCTAAAACCTAAATCCAAACATTTACCTTATGGAGACTGTTACGAGTACGACTGGTAGAAGTATAGTTTGTATGGACAGTCATACTGTGATGTGGTTTGCAACGAAAGGAAGTGGCCAGAAAGTATCAGCCAATTAGTATTGTGTTAAGTGTACTTGATCTTTTATAAAATAATCAATAAATTGTTGACTCATGGTTTGTCTATGAGTGCTTTTAAGTTGAAGGCGTGTTCTGTCATCTTTCATATTTTGGATCAGAAATCGCTTCTGAGTGCTTGAGGGAGAAGAACTCCTTGTGAATGAATTAATGTCATCTTGCATGGCTAGCAGCTCTGGAATATCTGGTCTTAGAAAGTGTTCTCTGGAATGTCTTCTTGTCCTTGATGTTGTTGCACTGTTAGTCAGAATGAGTTTTTTTATAAAGGTCACCGTTAGCAGAACGATTGGGTTAGCGTCGTGTCTGAGTTAGCTATTCAGTAAAGGTCATTCACCACCATAAACCATCAGTAGCCTTACGCTATCTGACAAGACCATCTTTATACAGTACGTTGCCACAAAATGATTAATTTGGCAAAACTGGTAGAGTACAGTACTAACCGTACAGACCTTTTGGCTGATCTTATGGCGCTCAATTTTAGGACAAATATTTCGGCACCGCACACATGCACGTTAGTAGCGGCATCAGGCGCTCGAACGAAGACAAATGGAAATAAGAAATCTGAAAATTTTGTAAGCCCATCACAGTGTCATTTTCCATTTTGGTTGTAGCGTTTAGACTTGAGAGTCTTTGGACATCGCGGCGGGACGCGGTGAGTTGCAACACTATGTACATATCTGTAGATCGCATGTTCGGGTGCCGCCGTCCAGCGATTACAGCAAAACCCAAAAACCGCCACGCTGTGTCACAGTGCCACTAGCCATCGCGCGGCGACAGAATACTTTGAGCCGAGCACACTGCACAGTGATGCATTTTGTTGGTACTGGGTATAAGCTTCTTAAATACAGTAAGTAATAAGGTCTTTTGCTTTTGTAAATTTGCTTCTGTTGCAGTCTTCATTTTCTTCAATCATCATTGAGTGATTAATGAGATATATGTACTGTGGATAAAGCATTTACCATGTCGACGAATAACGTTTCAGCGGAGGCTCCTGACACTGACAGAACTGAGTCTGGCTCGTCAAATCCTCGGATGGCTGATTTCCTGAAGCAGGCACTGGCCAGTGAAGAGCTCAGTGATGTGCAGTTCGCCGTGGGACGCGACTTCGGCTGGGTCCGACACTTTTCCGCGCATAAGTATGGGCTGTGTAGCAAAGTTTCCTAGAGTTGGCATGCTGACTACTGCTGCGCTTCTGCCGTGACAGTTGATCTAAGCATTCAGTGCGTGTAGGTTCTTCTTGGGCATTCGCAGTCCCGTCTTCCGCAGAATGTTCTATGGAAGTTTGCCTGAAAAATGTGAAAATGCCATCGACATTCCCGATATTCATCCAGACGGCTTCGCCAATATGTTGAGGTTGGTAAGGAGTTAGTGGAAAAGCAGTACGAAGTGGATGGAATGTGCTCATTTTGCTAGCTCTTTTTAGCTGTGGTGGAAGTAGGATGCAAGTACTGTATCTCATACGTGCTTTGTCTTGCAGTTTTCTCTACACCGATGCAGTTGATCAGCTCAACGCGAACAATGTTTTCCTGACCATGCTGGTGTGCTGACAAGTACGATCTGCCGCAGCTGGTGCAGATTTGCTCGGACTTCATCATAAGCCAGCTGAGCTGCGACAGCTGTCTGGACACTTTGAAACAGGCACTCCTGTCTTCCTCTACCAATGTCACTTTGCAAACAACTGCTTTTTTCCTGCAGGCGGTTTATTACCAAACGGAGACCATCGTAGCCAGGTGCTTGGCTTTGGTGGACCAGCACAGCGAAGTGCTCCTGCAGTTGGGTGAATTCACCACCATCTCCCAGGATATCCTGCAGAATATTTTGCAACGTGACACACTGTCTGCGGAGGAACACGTCATCTATATGGCTGTGGAACGGTACGCGCGACGTAGACAGCAAAATCTGCTAGTAGCTGCGACTTGATACGCGCGAAGTAGTGACTGTAGTTGACCGTAGTCCATATACGCTATTAATTGTGTGTTTATTGGGCAATAGCCGCCATAACAACAAAAGTGCAAGCGCGGGCACACTACTTTACAGTTAAAATTTAAACATTAAAAAAACAACCAAAATCTCTATCCGCCCGCGGGTTAAAAGGCAACGTACTTAACACAGCAGTAGCATTTCCCTTAATGACAGCCAAACTAAAACGTTGCTTCATAAAAGCAGTAGAACGCGCTTCTCCAGTTAATTCACGAGTTTTACGGCCCATAAAATGTACAAATTCACTTAAAGCTATGCCAAAGACACCGAACGTTTCAACAACTAAGGGATAGAAAAGGTGTCTACTTTCCAGTGGAGAGTACTTCCGTCGCTTCTCATTTTCTGCCAGGTGAGCCACACTTCCTGCCTTCTTCGAACTTCCGTGAACACGCTATTAATTTATTTATTAATGTGGTTTATTTATTCAATATCCGTTCATGAAAATCTGAAACGTATATAAAAAAACTGAGCAATAAATCAGAATGCCTACAGAGTGCACTTCTGTGTAGCGAAAGGAAAGGTCATACAAGCTCGCTATCAAAGGGGAGTAGTTGGCTTGCGTCGGAATTCGGATCTAGCATTAAAATTCTTTTCGTTAGTCAGCAGTTAGAGAGAAATGAGCGGACGTTAGCTAGTCTGTCCGGGCCTGTCGAATTCTTGGCCTGTACTTGCTTGATTATAGGTGGGCAGCGGCGGCCTGTGCTCGTAACGCCCTGGAGGATTCTGGTACTAACCGACGCCAGATGTTGGGCGACGCTTTATTCCATGTACGCTTTCCGCTCTTGACGCATACGCAGCTGGCTGACAGTCCTGGCAAGGTGGGTTGACGTCTTGCTAGCGAATAAGCCATTCTATAATAAAATATTGTGACTTGTGAATCGTTGTGATGCCGGTATTATGGTAGAGTGGCCTGCTGACGGGAGCGGAACTGCTGAGCGTGTTCATGTATCACAGTGCCACCGTGAAGCTACAGATCGCGTTTCCTGCGGAGCGCCGCATCGGAACCGGGACAAGAACAATTTTTCGACTGGGAGACCAGGTGTTTGTAGAACGCTCCGATAATGGGAATCTTTGGGAGCCGGCCAGCGTCATCGCGTTGGATCGGCAGGACGTGGTGTTTATGCTGTACACAAGGCACACGGTCGGCATGGCAGCGACCGACCAGGTGATTCGTGCTCAGGACATCCTGAAGAGCGGCCAAGAGGTGGTTATTTCTTGGATGGATACTTTGAAACTGTCACGATATGCTCGCGTAGAAGAGAACGGGTTGCATCGGGTTACTGAAAACTTGTTAAGCGCTTCCAGGATTGTTGAGTACGCAAATTTAAAGCTACACGCCTCCCATGCCAAGTTATGGAAGCAGCAAAATGGATAACGGTTAATATGCCATCGTGACGTTCTTAACTAAGTGTAGAATGCAGAGCCTGAATGTACGTTATGGTTAGTGTTGTTCGGTTTGTGTTCTGTGGTTTTTCGACACTGTGGCGTGGCCAATCGTTCTTCGGTTTTATGATGCTAGGGCACTGTTATCGTTCGTTTTTAAAAAACAGTCTCTGCGTTTTTGATTTAGTTTTTCTTGGTCCTGGTCTTCTGTAGTATGCGACTCGACTACCTGCATCAGACTACATGTGACCAATTTTTTTTATCTCCAAAAGTGATCGTAATTCGTAACTTACTAACTACCGTAACTGCACTGATGGCACAGAAATTGTGCTTTCTTGCGCCCAGTTTTAATGCAAACGTACATGGCCCGTGAAGTCCAACGGGTAAAAAGAATGTGGTAACATGAGTGATATAGTGATAATAAGGTAAAATTTCAACTGGAGTGATATCACGGTAGCTACCGATATCCCAAATAGGAAGTCGAAAAACATTCGCGCAAAACATGTTGCTGCGATAATGATTTCTGTGATTACTTATCTGCACAGTTTAAAGCTTTCTTTTCTTTCCACGTTCAAAATCAAACGAGACACCAAAATACTTTGGATTTGTTTATAAGCAAAAACCCAACCCCGGCGCAGCCGTCAGGTATGTAAACTAAAAAGCAATTAAGTTACGCTGGCACTCCAGGGGACATCGTCCAATCAGCGCAAACTCAAAGGCTTAGAAAAGCAGCAACAAGGAGATCTGAATGATGCATACTGCTAGCACACAAAGGATACTTTGGAAAATTAACAACAACCATATTATTCACAGATATTCTCCACTGTTGGCGATGCTAATGTACTGTGTCGGTTTGCCATTCTTTGTGCCAAATGCCTGCAAAACAAACGTTGACGTTGTTATAAAATTGTGCCCGCCCGGCTGCCAGTAAATTTCTGATAAATTATTTGAGACTTTCACTTGAGGAAAACTGTAACAATAAAAACAGCAGTGTGTACCTCAATTTTTCTCACAATATCCATGCCGGAAACCACCCGTCCGAATACGACGTGCTTCCCATCCAGCCAGTGACATTTCTCTGCAAAACATATCGAAATTTTCCTTGTTAAGAAAATACCCGAAAATCATAGAATAATTCTGTTCGAAACAACAATACGTATAACGATAATAAAAATTCATTAAAACTCGTATACATACGACCTTCAAATTCTGACAGCGCTTACTTTAATTTATATTTGGAGCTTGTTAAAATTATCGTTCATAACAAGGTCAGAAAAACGTTTTCTTATTCGCAAAACTGTTCATCTTTTACCTTCTGATGATCAATTTACAAATACTACAAAAGCAAATACAAAACATTTGTATCAAAGTAAGGCTTCCATAGAAAACTACGGTGTAATTCACAATGTACAACATTACATTTTAGTACTTTTTAAGCTCCGATTCAAAAATGCACATTAATAAATATCGACTTACCGGTAGTTATGAAGAACTGACTTCCATTGGTACCCGGTCCAGAATTCGCCATTGACAGCATACCTGTAACGTTACAGAAAACATACACCATGAAAATGCATTAGCAAATACGCAAAACACTCCGAAAACTTCCGCGATATTCGTAGATTTTGTAGGTACAACAATTCCTTTATAATAATCTAGATTTTTCGCAACATTCGCCAGCCGATACCGACCTGGTTCGGAATGCTTCAGTATGAAATTCTCGTCCTCAAATTTGCCACCGTAAATGGACTTCCCGCCAGTCCCATCGCCTTTTTCGAAATCTCCACCCTGGATCATCTACTTCAGCAAAACGCCACCGTTGTTTCCCCATTGTCAATACACTGCTGTATAAAAATATCCCTTACAAATTGCGGGATGATTCGATGAAATTTTGATCCACGGTAACCGTAGCCTTTCTCATGGGTGCAAAGGGCGCGGAAATTTTCTGCATCATAAAAAAATCCTAATTTCACGTCAAAAGTACAAAGCAGGATACAATTTAACCGGATCGGTTACAATTTATGAATAACAATAACTAAAACAACGCAAAACACGAAACAGATCAATGCAACTAACGACCCTTCTCAAACTGCGCAGTATTTCAACAACAAAACAACGTACACAGCATGTTAATTGGGACAAATTCTTCATTTGATCATATTTGTTATACTTATTTAACAATAGAGGAAGTGCTTCTGTTATAAATGACGGTTTTGATTATTTATTAAATAATTACTTAATTAATTGTGCAATGTTGACCGTAGTGATATGAATTACGATTGTTATGTCGCGATACGAACATCAATAAAGAAACTAATACTTATTAAAGGTGCAGAATGCAGATGCGATTGTTTAATAACAAAAATTATTCAACTTACCGACAGTACGCGGCGCCACATCCGCCCTGAGGAGAATCACAATGCGACCAGCCTCGCGGTTGGAGATTTTAATGTCGAAAAACACTTGCGGATTGGCTTTACTCTTGGCCGCTGATGCTTCACCAGTCTGAGCAGTCTCCTAGCAAGCAAAAGCATCATTAAAGCCATTTTTGGCAAAATTCAACCAAAGTCAACCATAAAATGTCCTCATTTAATGTACAACTTACAAGTACTTGTACACCAACCATAACTCTGCACTGAGAACCACTTTTTAACATGCATTTATATGGAAAGATAATAATAAATTTGTTTCACGGAATGCATTTGGAGTTAGATTTCACCAACATACTACTTCAATGCGTCCAGCTAGACGAGCTCCAACTCTGGCAGCATCGTAGTGAAGTGACTTGCTTATGTTTACATGGCATTCTGTACGAAAGTTTATGAAACGGACTAATGGAAATTACTATACTAATACTTAATATGCTGGAAACTATTATGCTTTTTTATTTTATTAGCTTTTGCATACTTTTTTATTGTGGACTACTGATTGCGAACCAAATAATCAATAAGAAAACATGCAACCATAAAATACGAAAACCGTGTGGAAATTCAACGGCAAGAAATGGTTGCAATTTTCAGGTAGTAACCAAAAACAACTAACAGATAAGTATTGTGGAATAAGGAATAAACTAATGAGGAGTCTACACTCTACAGAATACCGTGGGTTCAGTGCATAATCGTACCGCAATCCGAATTTTACAGCACCGCCAACTAGTAACTAACAGCAGGAAAAAGAGCGTGTACCTGTGCGGCAGCGGGCGTATTCTCCTGCTCCCCTTCGGGGGCGGTGGCCGGGGTTTCTCCGGGAGCTTCCTGCAGGGTCTGTCCGGCGTGTTCGCGCAACCACTGATCGTCCGACCACACTAGAAGAAATTCGCCAAGCGATTCACTTACAAGCGTGGACACTTCACAATGTAACCATGCCACTTCCAAAATCATTAACATGCTTCGAAAAAATGCTACTGATATTTATTCCATTAATATTTCTTTACTAATCAAATCTTCAACCAGTTTTAAACGAGGATGACGACAAGGCGACAACGGAACATCGCTGTCGTATTTCAGGTTCTATTTATTTAATTTCGATACTTTCCAATAAATTTTAGCATTTACAGTAATTCAATATCTATAGATAACACTGTACATCATCGTAGTAAAGCGGCGGAAACCATATCTTGCAGACTCGTTTACAGTACTGTTAAGGTTATCTGTCACTCTTGTTACTCTGTAAAATCTTAATAGACGTGAACCAATTTTTTTCGCGATTAACAAGCTGCCTGCTGCGTGGGTATTTTCAACGCATTAGTTGTCGAGTTTCCCATCCACAGTCATATAGGAATACCGATTAATAGCGGGAAAATACGAATTTACATTAACAGTTGGCGAGCAATAACAAATTCACGCATTTTCGTAGAAACCTTTACATCGTTTCGACTGAATTTTTGAGTGCGTATTTACCTGGCTTGTGGTAGCCCTCTTTGAGGCGTTGTGGTTTGGCTAAATTAACGCGAATAGTCCGCCCGAACAGTTCACTTTCATCCTTCAAAAACACATCGATAAAAGTAGACTGCTTATTTAAAAAATGAACTTATTCGTTATGAGTTTTTGTCATACCATATTATCGATCGCAGCGGCAGAATCCTGAAATAACATGACAAAGAACGTTCACGATATCTGGAGTCGTCACAAAATTAAATTTCAAATTAATTATCAATAACAGATCAGTAATATTTAAATGGTGGGAAATCAGTCTGACAAAATAACAACACTGCAAAAATAAATTTGTGTACCGTACCTCGGCACTTTCAAACTCGACGAAGCCAAAGCCTTTGTGCTTGTCTGCAAAATAAACAGGTAATTGGTCCACAGCACGGCAAAGCAGAAAATAAAAATCATGAAAAATAACAAAATCGTAAAACTATTCACAAAAATCCTGAAAACAGATAAGGGAAAAAAATAATACAACAAGGCGTAACGCAGCGAGAACTGCACCATAACATGCGATTTTATACAATGTAAAAATTATTAAATGTTAAAAAAATAAAATATAAATTGCTGCATTTATCATTACGCTGCCTGGTGGATCACAACTTCACACACATCCTGACATCCAAAGCAAACAAAAAGCCAATAAATGCGAAAAGCTGGATGCCATAGAACACGTACCTGTATATCGCAATGCGTTAACAACTTCAGTTATTGTTGGAAAATTAAATTTAAATCAGCAGGTTTTAAAGAAAACTTCGAAGAGCTGATGGGACTTCTGAAAACTCAGAACGAAAATAAAAAATAAAAATAGGAATACAAATAAATAAAAATTAAGAATAAATTTAAAGTTAAGAATAAAAAGAAGAAAAGAACAAAAATAAGAATGAAAACCATACAACAAAAATCTTCCCCAAACATTCTACGGGAAACCGAAAACCCTGAGCGAACAGGCAGGACGAAAAACCTACTTGTTTTGAAATCAATGGGAATTTCCACGTTGATGATGGGCCCAAACGGAATGAAGGCAGCGTGCAGGAACTTCTCATCCACTTCTTCGTTCAGTCCGCCTGCAATTACCAGCGAAATTGCAAACCTCAGATTATCAGTTTTCTTACGGTGAACCGATAATCGATACAATGAAAGGCCGAAGACCAGCAGTCTCGGGAAGCCTCCAGAACCTCGCACAACGCACACTTACCAACGTACAACGTCCGCTTGTGAGACATTTTCAATTTCTCCTCTCTCAAGCAACGAGGTAGGACGATTCAACAATTCACAGCGCACGCGTTGCGCGGTCCGCTGACAGTCACCGCGATAATCGATACGACGATAAGGCAAGAACGCAGATGATGTATTTTCCGAAAAAAATCACCAAAGGGAAAAATACAAAATAATAATTATTATAATTCATCCGTACGGTAGCCTTCTCACTTGTGCTTGCAACGCGAAGAGCTAAAGTCGAAGCTTCGGAAAATTTCAAAAGAAAACTAAAAATCCGAATAGATCACGGTAGAAACTTGAAGAACTGAAGATTTTCTACATCCTCCACAAAACTGGAAAACTGAAATGCGATAATGCGACAGCGACAAAAATTCTAAAAACGCTGCAGTTTTTTCAGATTTATATTTAATAGCTGCAGCTCGGGGGCGGACAACTGAGCGTCGGAATGCTAGTAATCGCTGTTCCATGGGTGCGTGTTTCTTCATGCAGCCCCGCTCGGGTGGTTGTTTGTTGGGTTTCTTTTGCTTCTTTTCTTCCTGATGTTTTTCGATGAGATCATTGAGTCTACTCTGTAGCAGATCTTCAGTCGGTTCTTCATCTGCGCTTACTTGTCCGTGCCGTGTTTACTAAATTGCTCTATGTTTTCACAGGGTGCCTATAAAATTATTAATCATACAATTAATTTGTTTAGTGATTGACTGATCCCGCAGAAGCCATGGAGACTAGCCATAATCTCCTTCCAGTTGTTCCAAACGAAACGGTAATTTGTACTCAGACGACTGCTGGTGCTTCTTGGCATGGCATCTAGGTGCTACTCAAGCTTTTCTTCATTCTGTTCCAGGCACCTTCCACAGACATTCCAAAACTGTTAAAAGTCCTCAACCCCGCCAATGTCTCGTCGATAGCCGCCTCCATGATATTGCTCAGCTCTCTCGACTCCACAAAATATCACTTGAAGATAACGGTGGCGCGGATTGGGAATAAGGTTGGCACTTGGCCATGATGCGCCATATCATCATTATCACTGTACATTTGAGTACGAGCGGTAAACTTCACCGTAGGCCATAACGGAGCCGCATCTGGCGGCAGCCTGCGCCGATCTGTGCGCCAAATTATCCGAACACATGAAAACGAAGGAATCCCCGGGCAGAGCGTTGCGCTTCAACACGGCTGTAGTGCGCTGGGCGAAGGAGTACTGGCAGGATGTCGATCGTGAACTGTACGCTTTGGAAGGGAGGAAGCGGGAGAACGGAGGATCGGCAGCGTCGTGGGTCCGGATCAAGTTGGAGAGCGTTCGTCAGCGTTATCTGGCCTGTAGTCGGTTAAGTCAATCATTTTGATACGATACTTTTTTCTTGTTTCCCTGGACGGTAACGGCTTTAGCGTAGCACTAAATCAAGGTTAAGCCAGTGGAAACGGGAAAATAAAGCCGGTGTCCAATCTCATCGCGCTTAATAATACAGTACAACTGTACTGTATTGTAACAAGCGCGCAGGCCTTTGTAATTACGTTTCAGCATAAAAATATATTGTAGTACTTGCAAGTTTAGTATCGGGCCTCGTGACTGAAGCCTGAAAGTATATGCATTTGAGGAGAAGCATGAATTACGCGGTATTAAACTTTACGTGCAAGCAGCCCTTGGTCTGGCTTTTCTGCTGTCAAGTGTCGACTCGTTGCTTATCTCGTTTTCCGTAGATTCATAGCGCACCTGTTTGTTAACGGTTACTTTACGGATCGGAGTATTGACGTTACTTATTTCCTGAAAAAAGTGCTCCCGGTGACAATGGAGGATGTCAGCGAAGGTCGAATCGAATGCCTATGCGCCATGCTGCCGATCTGTGGTCCGTACATTAGAGATCAGGTATGCAGCTGTCTCGTTACTTACTCCTTTTCAGTGCGTTCAAAGTGTTGCTCCGTTGTGCTCAGAAAACCGTGGATTTTATTTTGAATCAGCTGAAGAAGATGATCGACGCGCAGGTGACGTCGTCACGTATTCGTGGCATAATGGAAGAAATCGTAAATAATAATTGTCTTCAACGCCAAACGGCCACCATTACGGGTGGACACGCAGTCCATCAGGAAGAAGGACGAGCGGTGGAGACAGACCGCCCATTAGTGCTGCCGGGCTGTCAGCCGCTGCCTCCCGACGGCGGCGCTGCTGTGGAAAGTGGTGCTCTGATGCCGGACACCGATGTGACCCATCCCAGCTCGGCGTCGGAGACGCTGTCTACCAGTGTTGACGGTCAGGCTCCCGATTATGGTGGTTGCCCGATAGTCCAGCCCGTAGAGCCTGGCGGGAAGCGGAAAGTGTTGGGATTACTGGTGAGGAGTTTAGTCATTTGGCGTCTTGCATACACAATTAAATGCGCGTTATATGCCGTTGTTGGTGCTTTAAGGGATTTGGCCCGGTACATAGCATCAAATTCGTGTACATCCAGGGGAACTTTCGCTGTTGCGCGCTCCCAAACACTTTCAGTATTGCTTTATGGTATTTTGTAGCCAGAAGAATTGTATACCTAGGTGAGAAAACCGTTTGCGCGCGCAACATCCGGTTGCTAAGTTATGAGGGTAACAAAATTCCAAAAAGTTTAAATGCATTCAAGTGTACCAAAAGTCTCATTATGGACCGATCCCTTTCAAATTTTGCGCGTAAATGCACATAACCATGAAGATCGTTTTGACACGGATCCACTGTTCTAGCATGTTTTTCAAATTTTAAAATGAATTTCAAATATTTTAAAATTCATTTTAAAATTTCAAAAAAATCGTGGAAGTCTGGATCCGTGTCAAAACGATCTTCATGGTTATGTGCATTTACGCGCAAAATTTGAAAGGGATCGGTCCATAATGAGACTTTTGGTACACTTGAATGCATTTAAACTTTTTGGAATTTTCTGACAGCCATAACTCAGCAACCGGATGTTGCGCGCACAAACGGTTTTCACGCCTATGTACACCAATCATTTGGCTACATAATGTCAAAAAGCAACCCAAAATAGTGTTTGAAAGTGCGCGAAAGCGAATATTCCCGTCAATGTACACGATTTTAGCGCTATGTACCGGGCCAAATCCCTTAAAGCGTGCCGAATGTGTGTTTTCCGAATGCCGAATGTGTGTTTTCCGAGATTCACCCATTTCAAGGCCATTGGGAGTGTTTTTCAGGCGAATTCGCTTCATAGCCAGACGAACATGTTATGGCCACAAGGTGGCACGAAGCGGCCTTTTGCGACGCCGGATGCGGAATGGGCATGCAAGGTGGCGCCAGTTCATCCCGGTTGGTGCACTAACAGAATGCATTTTCCTGTACTTTCATTCCCGCGCAATTAATAAGAATTTTACAGCCTTTATAGTAATCCATTCGCGTATTTTATATTCATTTTACCACGATGTTTCCTTTATAAAATTTTTTCTTGGCAGCATGCGGTCTTGGATGATATCGAACAATGAAATCAGTGACCGATGCTATGCGGATTATAACGAAAATACATAGCCGCGTTGCAGAACGTTAAAAAGTGCAGGTTTGGATTTTGCAGGTTAGCAGAGACTTCACCGGAAGATTCAATTGTGGTATGCCACCAGGCAGAAGAGGAGGAATTCGACGCCGACGCGATAAAAGTGATAACGTGGAGGATGTTGATGCGGGCGGCTAATACGGAAGGAGAAGAATATCAGGTCAGGTGCAGCTTAGTGGCGGCTCATGGGTGTACAGTATGCCTGTAGGGGAACGTCGCAGTGTTGAATTTGTATGATTTTAGGAAGTGATAATCGGCTCAGTGGAAAACATTCGACATTGGACCGATAACGCGAAGGCGATGTTTGTTCAAAACATATTGGAGAAGTCTTTCGAAAGCCGGCTACGAGATCGCGCCAAATATGTGGAGTTTGTATGCGGTTTGGCGCGCGAGCGACTCTTTTCGCCCGAGGTTCTAGCGGATGGGTAAAGGTCATACAGTAAATCACTAGAACCGACTGGAAGAAGCTGTAGTGATGTTGTTTCCTTTTACTTTGACTGTTGCCAAACACTATTCAACGAAGAATGATTTGATCGAAATGCTGATTTCCTTTTTTTATACTTTTTGTCGTTCTGCGTTACTTCCGTTATTAAATGTTGTTTGCAGTGTGGGGGAGATTGTGGCGGTGACGGAGAACATTGTCGCCGAGGTGCCGGACATGTACACCGTTGTTGTGGATATCCTTGGTTCCCTCCTGGCGGACAAGATTCTGGATGTGGCGGCTGTGGTTATCGCCTTGAATAGATCCCCGGTTCATACTCCGAAATACTACGCTGCTCTACGTCAGTGGCTGGACGCCCATCTGTCAGCGCAAGAGAAAGAGGAACTGGTCAGTCGGCAACCGAGTGTCGGCTGGGCCATGCTTGGTCAACCTGGGTGCAGTGTGGACGGAGCTGCGATGGAGGGCGTTGGATCTGAATAGTTAATGTGCTGGATGACATTTTATTGTGCTTGTTATTTTTAATTTTCTGCTGAACAGGTACAGATACAAGCATTGAGCATTCATAACATAGAGTTACCAAAGTGGTGTGATTGTTATTTTTTTAAATTTTACGTGAAGATCAAACAAGATTCGGATACAATTGGTGTGCGGCATATAATGAGACCTAATAACTGTTAGCGTTCTTGATGCGGTCACCTACTGGGTAGTACTCATAATTGAACAGGTCGATTTGTGACCGTGGTAGTGATTGGGCGAAAAAATGAACAATATAACATTTTATGAACGAATCTGTGTAAAAGAGGTAAGGACTTAATAGAACATTAGAACAATCACTGGGATGATTGGATCGTGCGACATTTACGGTACCATTACGTATTATCAAATTGATAAGGTACTCGTATCGCGTTCACTGAACGCCGTTCAGTGATGTAATAGTACATAAACTGTACCGGCTTTCGGGCAGACTTCATGGCACGAGTTAAGTGTGATAAATTCGTGATTTTACCGTTTTTTTAGGAAGTTCCATACGAGCACTGAAAATCACTGTGCGTGAAGCTGTCCATAGCGCTATCTACCACGCAGTACTCGTACGTTATTACGCATTGTACGGTTTCTAGAATACATTAAGTTTTATAATATTATTATTTCGGCGGCTGCCAGTACACATACGCTTGCGTAGATAAAAACTGATTGAAATGATTAAATTTTAAACAATAAAAAACATCCAAACCCAAAGTCACTATTATTAGCATTCGTGATCTTCGGGCGTACATTCCGTGTGCCCAAAACGGCTGCCGCATTTCCTTTAAATATATTTGTAGCTAAAAGGCCGTGGATCCAGTATCCCCGGTAGCTTCACTTACACAATACAGCACCCCGTCAAACATGCATACTGCGCGTAAACCACATGTACTACAACGTAAGGCCGGTAAGTGTACCTTTATAGTTTATACACTCTATCAGCATCGCTGTAATACACACACACATCTTACATAGAAGTATATATGCACATCCCTAAAATCAATTCACTTTTCCCCATCCGCTTCCGCATCCGGTCCCAGTGTGTAACTTACAACCCGGCAGCGTGAGCGCATTTATAACGGCAGCGGTTACATGCACCACCTGTCGTTGTAATCACGGCATCTCATGCGCGATGCTGCCGCTGGTCATCTTCTTTCTATACTGCAGCATGCAAGGCGGACACACGACCCATGTGTCCATTATCACGGTGATAATCGGGCAGAATCCCATGTACGGGATCTACTCCACCGGTCCGGCATACGATATCGCCTTCGAGGAGATGAAGCGCAAGTACGCGTACATGGTGCCCAGTCTGTCCTTCCACCGCATTTATAAACCGCGCCCGGTGAACGCCACCGGCTGTGTGGATACCGGCGATCTTATGCCGGAAGTGGCCGGTGAGATTGTGGAGATACTTAATCGCCAGAAGGGTTTCGCCATGATTTTCTCACCAGGTACGATACATCTATACGAGTGCGTTAGGACCAACCATCGGTATTATTCTGCCTTCAAATGCTACATATTGGATAATTCATATTGGTTGTAAAATAATTTATTTATTGTGTATTAGGTTACAGTGAGGATAAATACAAAGTATACGGATATAAATATTCTATAATGCAGCTGCATTGTCTTGCCTGAATTTTGGATTATATAATTAGGTGCAGCACTAACTGTATTAGAGAGTAGAGACAGCTCTTTAAGTCATAAAATTTCAAAACAAAATCCATAGATTCATAAGCCAAAGAACTACATTTATGTATGTTTAAGAATTGTACGTATATATTAATTTTTTTATATGTATTTTTTAGTGTAACATGTTGTATATTTTTATTACATTTTAGTATATATTTACATTTTACACTTGCACATTGTTGTGCGCTGAGTCCTGGTCATAAGTCGCGTATAAAAAAGCAACAGAAATTATTTAATTATGTCAAAACTTTGAAGTGTTAAAAATAAAATAAATTGTATGTTTTGTATTCATGCAGTACCCGGCATGGGTCAAAATTACATGCCATTTCGAGAAGCCATGGAGTTAGCTTTTCTTCGAAACATGCCGCTTTCCTCTCATAAATTAACTATAAAGTCTGCTTATAATAAAGCTATTACTGTACCTGTAATAATGTACGCTTCCTTGATAATGTCGGTGGTATTTCAAATTTCAGGTTGCAGTCTGGAGCAAATTACCCTTGGAGATTTTGCAAGAGGTACGTCGAAAATTATCGTTTTTCTTATGCTGTTTCGCAATCCTCTCTTTCATCAGCCAGTAGCAAAACAGATTTATTGCAAGGTTTCCTTTAGCCGGCAAAAAGCATTATTAATTTCACAAACTCACCGGTCAGTCGGCAGCCACATCATCATTAATTCGTTCATGGGTGCATTAATTTGACTGCATAAGCTACTGGCTAGATATTAAAAGAGTAATCTGAGAACTACGATTTTTTGGCATTTCTTTTACGGTCATTATGTAAGAAAGACAGACACAGGAAACGTTTATAGGGAATATATTTGCATCACCGCGCGAGACATTTTCCGGAAGCCATAAAGTGTCCGCTCGCACACGTGAATGCCGTTCTCTAATTGACGTATCGGGAGGTCGCAAAGTCAGACGCAGTCAATCATTTATGATGATTTATGCCGGCTGCATTATACTTGCTGATGCAGGCAGATAGGTTACTCTTTGATAAAAAAAGACAGTTTATAACGCTGGTGTCATTGTCAAAAAGCTGCATGTCAGACAACATATAATTATCTGGATGTATGCTATCGATAACCGCAGATTCAAAGCGAAAACGATCAATTTTTCTGGTTACATTAGTCGACGGTCACTGCGCCTGTCTTACATGCATACAGCTGGTACACCGTATATACAGGAAAGATTTAATTTGCGGCATCCGGTAATATAATCCTGGGTAACCACGTCCGGTTTGGCTGTACCGTAGAAAAAAGCCCAGTTTTTTTCACACGTAATACTAGGATATCACGTTCAAAAGGATGGGAAGATACCGACATTATCCCGGATTACCGGTCGATCACATGCACCAGCAAACGCAAATTAGATTATCGGTTGTTGTGCGCTATTGCGCAACTGTTTTTTTATAAGACTAATTGATATCTCATTTTGTATTTTAACAGAATTTTTTCTGTTAATTTTTTCCTTTATTTTAATTCCAGTTTTAGAAATCTTTAATTGTATCCAAATCTCAACCACATTTATCAGAATAAAAAATATAAAAAAAGGGTTTAAAATTTTTTTTTACGAAATTTTTTTTAAATAATTTGTTTTTTTAGTTATTTTATTTTGTAATTTTATAATATTTACACAATCGTGTAATTTCTTAACCGTATAAAGATATTATAGAATGCGTACAGGAATTTATTAGTCTTTGAAATTTACATTATTCATTTCTAGTGTTTCTATGCACTCATATACGCAACATCCAAACAAAGATACAACATATTATTACAGAGTATAATACACTGTATATTTGATCAGCTGTGAGTATCCTGCCGGTAATGACTAACAATACACTCAGTACTTTTAGGGTAATTGTGGATAATGATGTTTAGATAATTTGTAAATTCTAAATTTGCGGTTTATCTTCGTACACTTTTATTTTTTATTCGCAGAACTCGACGTGCCGCTTTTAACAAGGTAAGTCAGCTCCATCGAAACAAATTTGTAAAACAACGTTTTTTTGCGCTGAGTCAAACCGGAAATTGCAACATCAAGTACGATTAAAATTAGTAGATGAAAAAGGAACCACTATCCAACGCGGATATACATTTATTTACCGGTATACTTCAACTGAATTGATTGTAAAATTATCAGTGTGGAAGAATCCATCTACACGGTTGCACTTTCCCGGGGCTCAGAGTTCCGGATGCCTGTAGTAAATGGGCTGTAGTAACTGTGTACGTTAAACGTGCAATTACACTTAATAATTCAACAAGGATCCGAAAATTTACACCACTGTCTCGGTACCTGTGAAATGTGAATGACATACAGCTATAGCGTGAAACTTTTGGTGTTTGCGTAGTAGGAGTCTTTTTTATCGGCTTATTCAGAGCAGCGTCAAATTACTAAACGTAACACTTGTTTACCAGCTTGGCGGTACCCCCGATCTAAGAATACGTTTCAATTGAATAGTGTCTCCGATTGCATCCCAGCATTCGGTCAGTTGCGCGCTTCCGTAGCGGAAATTAGAAGAGATATCTTACGGTATCCATAGCTGATAAACCGGGAAAGCATATGTAGCTGCCTGTTAATTAATTAATCAATCCAATCGCTGGTTAGAGAAACCTTTCATCTAGACTTGATAATTTAGTGAACTACCTTCAACTTTTAATGCATTAACCGATCTGTGCTTTTGTTGTTAATCTGCGCATCTATCTACAAAATTGTACTGATTAGATGACCTTTTTCGCGCCTATTGTACTGCGTCATCGGTCGCACGTAAATCACGAGAGAAAAATACGTATATAGCTGCATTACGGTCAAAAAAGGTTCCCGGTGGGTTTCACTTTTGCTTAGGTCGTTACGTAATGATATTAGTGCAGACGGTTAGCGTATTATATTAAAACTATGACGCCTTGTATACGGGACTCTCACACGTACACCAAAGTGAAAATAATACTGTACAAGGATCTCCAGTCAACGAAACCGTTGAGTGATTTCCGACAATACCAACGCTAATGGAAATTTAGGTCGGCAAGTTTTTGCGAGTTTAATCAAACCGGCAATTTGGTCCAAGTGAGACACTACGCCATATAAAAAATCGTTCACGCTGAAATCAATCTTGTTGACGCTACTTTACCTATTAAATATAGAAAAAAAACTTCGCTAGCTGTGTCACTCTAAATTGCACTGGCAATGTGCAGTGAAAAATGCACTATCCGGTATCGGATTTATGTGCGTACAACAAGAAAAATCAATTTTTCTAACAAGTTCCGCAACCTGGCGTGGTAGGTTACATGTTTTTGTACAGTAAGCTTGTAATTTTATTATGAAGGTTGATTTTAAAGTAAGTAAATAATCTCGTTGTTGAAACTGTTACCGTTGTTATAAGGATGCAAATACTATCGATGTATTACACGAATTTTGTGTAATTACAGAAATGCTCGTATTGGAAAGTCAGTGCTGGTTTATTGCATTATATCGATTTTCCTGAAATAATTCTTTTACCTTTGCGGGTGGTTTAATGTTGTGCCGGCCGTCCCGGCCCGGCACTGAGGGGGAGTGCTTATTGGTTAATTGTAAGAATAATAGTGTATCCGTGCAAAAAGTGTTTATCCCGGCGCGAAGTGGCTGCTGGACGCTGTTGTGATTCGTCTTGCTTAACAACGTTCACGCCACGACCGCTGGGAATCGCATTACCGCGGAGGGCACATATTTTATGCATGAACAGCTTTATCCTGACAGATGGCTGCTCGCCTGTCGCGCTTCCGCCGGAAGTGGCGCAGTGTCAGGGCCACTTATCGAACCGCCGCAACAGATCTCGTAAAAAAAAGAAAACAGATCGTAGTCACTGCTACTGTGTCTGTATATACTATCGGTACTGTGAAATAACGATTACTTTACCTGGAGCAAAAAGTTGTTATGTCTGCAGTTTGCATTGTCCAGCCGGCATAGCGATCCATACTCGATATAATGTGGCATTAGTCAGCTGCTTCTCTTTGTAACGTTTGTTGGCTGTTCATACATCGAACAAGATTTTTTTCGGTGTTGATTATGTTTTATAGTAAATTTTGTATAGCCGTACAAGCAACAGTGTACAATACATTTATTTGCACTTGTAAAATTCGGCATTTACGTTACCGCACTTACGCATACGATTCTATAGTGTGTAGAACATTAGGGCAGCAAACAAGCGGGTACACCACAAAAATCCAAAAAGAAGTGCTGCTATACTGCTACCTTAAGGATCCTTTCATGGCTTGCTTTAAACCTTGTAACTTTTATGCTTAACTGTAAGACTTTCAAAGCAAAATTATAATTAAAGAAAATGGGGAGCGCATTTCATTTAATCACATCCATTCAAAGGATGGCTAGGGTAGGGTATATATGTTTTCTTTTTGGTAACCAAGTGCCGAATACATGCATGAGACGCAAACCTCATTCTACTCGTGCCTTAAGAAAAAACACAGAAAATTAATACTGTTCGGGTTACTTTTGCTGGTACATGCACGAACATAATGTACTGAGCATTGTATTCGTACTTTCGTATATGGCAATATCTGTTTGATATAATTATACAACTTCCTGCCACACCCTTATCCAGATTTTTAAACCCGAATGCAGTATTCGCTAGTTCCTGTAGCGCGCTGCAATATCGTACCCTGCCAGATAAAAATTACGAATACAATAAATTCCAGCAAATCCATATGGCTAGATATGTATTAATTACAGTGTAAGTGGTTATGATTTGTTTTGGTGCGGAGCTGGATGGTAATCGTTGGCAGATTATACTCGTACAGTACTCTGAGATCCGTAGATTATACTCTGTATACAGAAATTGTTTTTAACTAATTCGCTTTTTGTACAGTTTAATGTAGGAATTTGCGATAAGGTTAAGAATATTTCTTTCGTTTAGTACTTCGGCGGATAACGCGCTGACGAATCGGAAACGCTATCCCACACTGATCGTTTTCAGTCCGGTCGGGCAAGGCTTGACGTCGCGAGCGTTGCGGGAGTTCCTGTTAAAGTTCAACTGGCGCATCATCACCGTGTACTGCGATGCCCTTACCCTGCTGCCCAGCATTGCCACCATGTTCACCATTGCGTGCCGGGGATTCAAATCGGTACTGACCCAGGTCGCCGGGGAATTCGAATATGATTACCAGGATTTTGATTCGCGATACGCCGTCGATTACGAAAAAATGCTCCTACGGGCCAAGGCGCAGAGCCGCGGTAAGTACACAAGAGCGTCACAAGAGCCACAGTAAGTACACAAAACCGGCCATGAAGAGAATATATATGAAGAACATACATGACCTTTGTCCCGTCTAAAGTGGTGCGGAAGCTAAGAACTATGTTACCAGGTCGATCCACAACATTTATTGTAATTCAGTATTTTCTACACTCGTATATCGCTTAACTGAATATTATTCTCGTCTTTCCAGTTATTCTCATTGCGACCAACGGCGACGTTATGCGACAAATTATGGTAAACTCCAATAACCACTATTCTATGAATAAAACATAAGTGTTTTTTTACATAAGTGACCGCCTTTTGAAGACAACGATTCAGTCTAGCTGTAGTTCGTGGAAATTCAGCTGCTGTTTTTGGTACACTGCTTGCACGTCCGAAGGCCACGAGTGGTTCTAATGATTTTGGATGTTTTTTTAACGTTTAAATTCGATCATTTTTATTGGTGTAAATCGGCGCAGGCATTTCGTTATGTATACTGGCTGTTGTCGAAATAAAACATAAGTGTTGTACATATTCGAAATTCATTTCAATTACGTAATTTACTGCAAAACGGTATAATATATGTCATGTACGCAATACTTCTATGCATAATATTTAACGCATAACATTTGCATATAAAATTATTTCGACAGTACACTACTTTTGATCACGGATACTGATAAGGACGAAGCGCAGTACTTTCCCAAATTACAGTGCACATAATTATGTTAAACTATATAGTTGTGCTACTACGTAGTAATGCGCAGTATAAAATTGGCTAATTGTTAATGTTATCGCCGATGTTGCAGCTTGTCGCCAAACGACTAAACATGACCGGCAACGACTATGTACGTATGTTATTTATCTAATGCAGTTCTATCGTGACCGTCAAAAAAATGTTACCGCGAAAACAAACTAAATTGACAAATATACGTATATTGAAAACCGTGGCGTGCGGTGCCTTGGTGCACCACATTTTAATGAGATCTTCGATTTGGGCGCTGCAGAGGTCAACCGCCACTATTCGGCAAACATATATTGATTGTCCCAGCGGTAAATTGATCGCTTAGTAGCGAAAAAAAAACGGCAACTTTTTTTAAACCGGTAAGTAGGCTGACGATAATGTTGTATTGACTGTGTCAACACAACCCGTCGCGGCTAAACATGCTGCCAATCAATTGTCGACGTTTTTGCCGGTGCTGACGGGCGCCTGGATAAGTAGACGCGATATTTATATTTGTTCCCCGTGTTATACGCAGGTCTTCCTGTTTCAAGATCCCATAGAAGTGCCGCAAGGTAGACAACTCTACTGGGAACTGAATGATAGCTCCGATGCGGTACGTAAGTTCGATAATAGTTCAAGGCCCTTGTGCTTATTATGTAGACTTATTTTTGGAAACATTTTCACACTCAACAGCATTTCTATGTCATTTTGCATAAAATATGCAGGTACTGAGGTACATAAAATTACGGAAATTTACACACTTCACGGTTTATTGTGCTTTGTAATATTGGAAAGTTAAAATACAGTGGTGGTCGGCTTTGAATTTTTTTATGTTTTACATCACTAGCTAATGCCATATATGTAATTAATATAGGCCGTTTATGTTTCCCATGGGTCGCGAGCCGATGGGTGACAATTTTTGCGTCCTTCTGGCTCATCGGATCGTGATCTGTATTGTAGTTCCTTTCTTTAGCTAATGTGGCACATTATCATTTGTGACCTTTCAGACAGCATACGAAGCGTTCCAGTCCATCATTATGATCCAGCTGCCGACTCCCGATTGGAGTCCACTGGGGCAGTTTGTCATCGATGTGGCCGGTCAAGTGCGATCCAAGTACAACTACACGTACAACGTCGATGAACTGGTAAATAATTACTCCATCGCCACAAGTTCCTGATGCAGATTTTCAGAAACCCCATGTACACGATTGATTATCATTTGCTTGCCGTACCATTATCGTTGTAAACGTTTCTTCTAACGCAGCTATTCAAAGGACGCTTATTATTTTGTAGAGAAATGATGTTTCTTTAGCGGCGTACGAAGCGGTCGCGGTATCTTTTCGGGTAAGAAATTTTCGCTAGTATTTTATTTTTTAGAAACACTGGCATTAAATTTGGTGTATCGAATGTTGGTTGCATAGATTTTAAATGAAACCTGGCCCTTTCTTGATACAATGGGCGGCAGGCGTTTTACATCGTACTACGCCAACCACACCTTCGACATGGGTTTCCGGTCGGTTGTTATCGGTGCCAATGGGATCCGCAAACGCGACACGTGGTTTAAGAAACTCGATCCGGTAACCAAAGAGTTCGAGATGGCTTGGTACTACACATGGGACAACAACACCATCAGTGCGTTGTCGCCGTTGGCCGACGACTGGAGAGGACTGAACGGGCCACCGCCCGATAAACCCAAATGCGGCTTTCTGAATGACCGTTGCCCGGTCGCGAAATGTAAGAAACATCAAAAGCACACAGAACACTCAGCTACATCTATATTATATGTTGGCGATCTTTTACAAATAACGGCTTCCGCCATTAGATCTAGAGGCGGAAGAACACGACTTCGAAAGCTGCAGTATTCGTTTGATTAGAAAGGTCACCCTTCGAAACTCGGAGTTCGGTTGCAGTTCGAATAAACAGCATAGAAAATAATTTAAATTTTACTATACATGCAGTCTGAAACATGTGTGTACAGAGTACGTTTATTTTGCAGCCGATGCTTACGCGATCGCGCTGGGCACCGCCTTGGGGCTGGTGATGGTCGCCGGAATCATTTCGACATGGATGTACCTGTACGTTTAACAACCAGCAGAGGACTGTAAATTTACATCAGACTGATTGGTGTCTTGCTAGGCGGCACGTGCATAACAAGGTCACCTATTCCTCATGGTGGCACCTGGACTCAGTGTTTTTCTACGTCCTGAATGTGGCTGACAGGAAGCCGTGGGGTTCCACGAATTCGGATAAAATTACAGATATCCCCGTCCATTTAACGGATCCCGAGCATTCGGCCACTGTCGCGGCCATGTACCAAGAAGAACGAGTGTGGCTGCAGATTGCTCGCACTGCGAACACTGTGACCTTACCACAGCTGATGGCCAACCGGAAGTTACTCCGCACCTTAGCTGAAGTATGTAAATTTAGTGAGCAAGAAGGCTTGCTTACACTTGGAGGAATTCATTCTGGTAATGTTGTGCGATTATTTAGGTCAAAACACTACAGTATGATCACGTTTCGAGATTTATGGGCATTCTGCTGTTCGAGAAGGAGCTAGCGCTGGTATGGGAGTATGGGCGGGGATCTATGCGGCATCTGCTGGATGAGAACCGGATCATAATGGATGAACAGATGAAGCTGTCGTTCATCTATGAACTGCTCAAGGTTCGTCAGTTATTGTTAGTCCTTTCACCTGTTCTGTGGTATGTTCTGTGCTTTCCACGTACCACAATTAATACTGATTTGTTTTGCTTTCGTCTTCCCTTTAATTTGTTAGCAGCTCAGAAATAAATGTTTTATATCGGCAGTTATTTACGTAGAAGTACTCATAGTTTCCGAAGTTTCCGACATGCAACGAGAAACTGTTTTATTAACGGCACGTTTTCTAGGGTTTAGCGTACATTCATACGTCGCGACTTCGCTTCCACGGAAGCTTATCCAGTCTCACTGTTCTGCTGGATTCGCGGTACTCCATTCGTTTAGCCGGAGTGGCGTCCAGACGCCTGGATACCGCTCTAGCCAACGTCATGGTCGAGAAATTCAATGGAGAAGTGACCAAGTTGTGGATGGCACCGGAACAACTGGAACCGAACACCAAGTTCCCTGACGGCAGTCGCACCGCCGATATCTTTTCATTGGCTATTGTGATGTGCGAAATATGGACGGGTGCCGGTCCGCGGAATTACAATTCCACTGTCGTCAAGCCTTCGGTTTCAGGTAATTCAGCATTAATAGCGTTATGACCTTTGGATAACGCGCGCTTAAACTGTTGACAAGTACCACACTATAAAACTTTCGAAGACCCATGAAACTCGGTGCGTAACTAACTGTTTGTGAACCGCAAGAAAACTATTTGAATTGCAGATCTACCGTTCAACACTGCGAGCGGCGACTACCCTCCCGAACTGCGCGCCCTGATTGACTCCTGTTTTGCCGTGGATCCGCACAAGCGACCTGACATTGGGCAGGTACGAATGCGACTGAAGAAATTTGACCGGGGCTCCAGCGTCATGGATGGCATTCTCAAGAGCCTTGATAAATACTCCGCCGATCTGGAGGACAAGATAGCCGTACGAACCGGTGACCTTTTGACGGAAATGGCTAAAGTGGACAGTCTGCTGAAAGAAATGATTCCGGGGTAAAATAACTCAGCTGTTGTGACAATTAGAGAAAATAACCGCAAATGTTTTACAGTATTTTTGTGGGGAAACTTCGAAACAAAGAGATCGTGGCGGCCGAGGAGTTCGCCGCTGTCACCATCTTCTTCAGCGACTTGGTGGGCTTTGACCAGTTTTGTCAGGTGTCCACATCGCCAGCCGTTGTGGAATTGTTGAATGATGTGTACCGCGTGTTCGACCGGATTGTGCAGCGGTACGATGTGTATAAAGTGGAGACCATCAAGGACTCCTACATGGTATCTGCGTTCAGCTTGCTAGCCCTAATAGCAATGACGCCAAAGATCAGTGACGTTGAATCTCACGGTTAGATTGCAAGTGGCCTTCCGCTTCGTAATGGCGACCGGCACGTCGTAGAGATTGCCGACACCGCCATCGATATTATGCACCAGAATGAAAGCCTGTTCATGACGCAACGACGAACCGAGATGAGTATCCGTATAGGGATGCACACCGGGCCGTGTGCGGCGGGGATCGTTGGGTTACGTATGCCGCGTTATTGCCTGTAAGAATGGCCGGTTGGCGTGCACATTTATGATAGAGCTATCACTGAACAGCATCCTTATTTGCCAACTGTTTAACTGATTCAATTTTAAGATTTGGAGATACGATTAATACGGCGAGCCGAATGGAGAGCCACGGAGAAGGTACAGAGCAGAGTGATTACAAAACGGAGAATCAGCAGAGTTTATATGCACTGTTTTGCGCATTTTTTCTATAGCATCCAGAATTCATGTTAGCTCCAGTTCCGGGCCGCTTCTTGCCGGGGTGCCGCGGTACAATTTGGAGCCTCGCGGTCCCATAACTATTAAGGTACGTTGGAGGTTATATATTACCGTACTAACCTAATTATCTGCCGTTGTTTCCTGTGTTTATTTATTTTTCACTTCCATCGAGCAGATAAACAGTAAAAATAAAGTGTTCGTGGTGATGAATATCTTGTTGATACAGGGTAAAGGTGAAATGTTGACCTATTGGTTGACCGGCGAGCCCAGTCCGGACGTCAAAATGGCGCTAAGAACTTCCGTGTCGAAGGAGCCGGTTGCCAAGAAGCTGTCTGTAAAACTGTCCAGTTCTTAGCCATCGGTTTTGGTACACACCCGAATTCCGTTGAAATTTCAGCCGGAAGTTATTGATTAACTTTCTGCTATAGATTGTGCTGTCAAAATTCAGAATCAAATGCTTTCGAGTGGCGCAAACCGCACACGCACCAATGTTTGATGGAAAACTCCACAAACCGAACGAAATATTGTGATGAGCCGCTAAAAACCTAATACTTCTTTGTTATACGTATGTAACTGGCAATAATTGGCATTTAGCCTCAATGATTAATTTGGGTCTTTGGTCTGTAGTGTTTCGTAGCACGATCGATCGTAAATAAATTTTCATTGTTCTTGAAGGTGACACAACGAATTCTTAGCGTACGTCTCGACCACGCTTGTGCAATAACCCTTGATCATGAGCTCAAATGAATGATGAAAATAAAAACGAATAAAACTATATGTTCACCTTTCGGCTAAAATCTCCCACATGGGATGCCCAGTTCCTTGTTTGTACCTCCAAAATTGCACTAACAATGCTTTGAACAAAAGACCATCGTTTACCCAAAATAATACCCATACAAAAATGTATCCTATCAAGGCCGCATAGCCACTGTACAGGAGGAACAACTCTCGATGTCGGAGTATCGCCACGGAAATGTAGAAGGCCAGGACGAGCGCGCGCCATATAATAAAAGGAATAGTAGCCCATAGGATTGGTTTCAGTAGTGATTCATGATCCTGCAAAATGTCTACCAATGATAATAATCGTAACTGATGATGCTATATTTAAAATATTAGCATATTAAATTAAACGATTATAAATTTAATTGACCTTTAGTAGACCTCCCAGAGCTAAAGCTGTCGCTAGCAGGTACAATATGGAAAACCCGACATCCATCCAGGAAATTGAACGAAGCGCTGTAATGAACAAAATTAAATTTCAATCGGTAACGAAGAATTTTTTTATAGAGATCCCGTATTAATTAGGTATTATGCATGAAATGAACACCTTATAGTGCAACCAGAAAAAACAATGTGCGTTGAATGCATTTGATCTTAATAAGTGGACAATTTACTGCTTGTATGTCCGAGCCTACACGCCATAATACACTTATTGCGCATTTAATTCCGGTGCCTTTGACGTACCCATCAGTATAATCGGATTGAAAACATCGGGATTTTCGTAATCGGCTGAAAAGGACCACGTGTGCCACCAGCCTACCGCCGTCTGGAAGACGATATTGCATATCATCTTCATCTGTCAACCAACGAGATCCGATACATAACATAAACAAATCACAGCTTATCGCGGGGGTTAAGAACTCCATAGCTCTGCACTTCCACTTACAATGGTCAGGACGACGAGAACGATACAGAATCGCCGGAACGATACACCGAGGTAATCCGCTAAATGCTGAAATAAGGGCGGAATATTTACAATTTTTTCCACGTGCACGGTTTCTACATCTTCGGTAGACATTTTTTGGTACTTTTTTAGGAAAAATGATAATTCAATTGTTTCGGCGTATGTGGAGCGTGAGCTTTGAGATTATGCAAATGTGTCGTTGGTAAAGACGAGTTATGCTGAGTTTCCGTAAACAGCGCAGCAGGACATGGTAACATTGACGGCCGGGTCAACGGTGAGGTCAGTGGGAGCCGGTAACCCTGCACATGCGCCAAGAGCTGTTTTGCATTTTGCTCGGTTTATTGACCGTGGAACGCTAATATCTCTGCTACAATTTCGGACAAAAGGTTAACAACATCTTATTGTTTTACCATAAAAGGAAGTCAGTTTGTTTTATCTAGTTTTATTATTTTTGAAATTATTAAATATCGACAGGCGAATGATTAATAGTGACGTCAGACAGTCTGATTATTTTGTATGTGGATAAAAAGATAAGTGATCAATTGTGTTGGATGACGTTTATTCAGATAACGGTGTATACAGGCATATCGCACAAATTGCCAATCAAGATCCCTACACGACAAGGCTAATCAATTTCATGCATACTTGATAAGCAATGAATCGCTCATTGGTAATTGCACAATGCGGGCTTTCTCCGCGCTGGGCGTTAACGTGCAATCTGTTAGTGCACACACAAGCCACTAAATGTATCAGTATCTCCCATTAAAAAAGAGTAATTACACGTTAGAGCCTGTACACTCTTTTGATTATCGCTACTCATTCGGACCACGGCCGCAGCGACTGATCTCCCTCGACACACAGAATGACGTGCCGGGTGTGAATTCAGGTGGAACAAAGAAACATGACATGCAAAATGGCATCCAACGTTAAGGATACATTATACACATAAACGCGGCTGGGATTGCCGTCGAATATATGCTGGACTGTATCGGGTAATTGGATCCGCTGTCCACACCGTCAACACTCCACTTTGTGAAAAATCTCAGTTGTGTCCAAAACGTTGAAACCGGCCCCGCGTATATGGTAAGCGTTCGTGTAGTGGCAGAGTGTACAATATAATAACAAAGGCATAACTTAAGTAGTGTGACTTGTTTGACCAGATATTTCGCTGTCCTGCTTTCGCCAATTTGCCGAAGATACCGGCCGGGGCAACGCTATTGTTATAAATGGCCAGTGAGAGTGTTGCCTATCGATTAATACATATTTTCAGCTTTATAGCTACTTAACAGAATGCCCCAGTCAATAGCGTTAGACATAGACCGGCCACAATGAATTACAACGGCAGTCACAACGAGAGGCTTGAGGTGCGTGTAAAGTTGAGAAAAGTTGGTGTTTGATTTTCCACCCCCAAAGTTAAGCTGGTGTGTATTTGTTAAGAAGCGCCGGTCAAATAAAAATGGGTCAGTTTCCGACTGAAACTGTCGCATATTTTGCCATCGTGCTGGTATGCGGAAAATATGCACTTGTACCGTAAATTTACAGACTTCCGTTTATCACAATCAAAATCCGCTGATTGGCCGCTTTTTATTGCTTGGTGTAGTGGCCATTACACCGGTGTCATCGTTAGAGTGCATTTGTACCCACAAATTATGTTATTATGTTTTGCCGTTTTAACTATCGGTTAAACTTGTGGTGTTGTATTTCGCAGATTGCAATTTTATTTATTTATGTCATGGCGATGAAATGAAAATATAGCGACCGTGAAACTATTTTATCGATCGGATATAAAAGCATCCAAATAAACATAAATCTCCGTGTGTGCCGGTTAATTAATGGCCACAAAGTAGTAACGGCTAAAAGACAAACACATACTCCACACATACTAATCGCTAACAAAGTGGCGCCACTGGTGTCGACACGGACGCAGAGCACCGGCCGCACATGTGTATCCTAATCGCCAAATACACACAAACTCCTTTGGTGTCTTTTTCCATTTCCCTGGTTGTACACGTTGTTAGTTATTTCTATCAACGCTCGCACACCGACCGAAGAAACCCCCCGTTTATAAGCAGATTAGTCGGCAGTGGTGATCGCATCAGCATTCCACCAGCAGCAGCAACCAGCACCTGGCCTCTTGACCAGCTGCAGCGCGCCGAGTCATCCCGAGAGTTGACCCTCGCTACCGGCTGCCTGCGATGTTGCCACCAAGTATGCACGGCACATTTTCGCCCCTCATTCAAACGCTGGCTTTCTCTCTGTGTCCGTCTATCAACGGATATATCCGCTGGCCTCTCTCTCTCTCTCTCGCTGGTTTCCATCTCTCTCTGAACCGCTGTGTCTTTTGAGCCACACGGCCATCACTTAATAATGATAACATGTCTCTTGCTCTCGCTGCAAGCTGGCACAACTTGGCGGCAGCGGTTCAGGCTGCGGTTTTGGCGTTCTTATATCATAACATAACACGTATATTTACAACAGAATAAACCAACTAAAGTCGTTAGTTGTCGATTTCTATTCCCGTTTAGCCTCATTTGCCCAAACGCGAGACGCGACGCCGCGCGCGATAGACACACAAGAGAGAAACGAGAGAATGCGGGCGCGCACACACGAGCAGCACAGTTTACGCCGATATGCATATTTTAGGCGTGTCATACTAGTATCTGTTAAATAAAGCTGCCATGGCTTGTTATTAACTCAATATGTACTTGGAGGGAAATGATCAATTTTCGTGGCTGGGTAATTGGCGGCACCACAGATTCCTGGCCATCTGCGCTACATTTTAATTGAAATAATCATGGTTAGCGTTTAGCTCAGCGTTGGGGTGCAAATTGCCGTGTTTATGTAACACGATGGTGTTACATGACATGCGCCAGGGAAAGGATTAAGGATTTGCAACACTGTTTTCTGCAGCGGTAGCATTACCTTGCTCTTTCTTTCTCTTTTGCAACGGATCAATCAATAACCGGTGCAAAAGTTATCAACGATGAAAAGTATATCGCCAAACAGTGTGAGAAAATACACGAAGAACGCCAGCCAGCGCGCGCATAACGCTTAGGTGTGGCCATACCGCCGGATTGGCCGTATATTATACAACGCGCATTGTGCTGCTGTAAGTATGTGGAAATAAGTGCATTGTCATTGACGCAAAGTGACCTCTAAACATCCGCAACAAAGTGGCCAAACAAGGTCATATTTGCTATCTGTTTTCTTTTTGCCGGTCGCACATATAGCTCATACAGCGCGGAAAAGGGGATTAATAAGCGTTTGGATAGCGCTCATTTTCCCTGTTCAGAGAGCATTTGGAAAGATTTTATTTGTTACATGGAAGCGCGGAGCGCCGCAACGCGTCTCCATCGGAGTTTGCGGAGCCAGAGATACAGCGACAGACAGAGATAGAGCAAAAGCCCCAGTTTTATTTAAACCACAATCTGCCGATTCTTGCTCTCACAGCTTGTCCGAAAAGGAGATCAACCGGCAGCAGCCGCGTTTCATACCCGTTTCCCCCACACAAGCTACTTTGCACGGCGCGTACACAGTGCACTCTGCACACACAGCCCGGGCAGATAATCGTGTAACCAATCCGTGGCTTAGCCGCCCGAATAGCCACTCATCCTATCTGGTTTCGTATTTTATGGATGACCTGTTTTTTTAAATATACTGATGTCGCAGGAGCTTCTTTTGTATTGGTTCGCCTCTTCCTCATAACTTCTTTTAATTCGCCTCGCCGCGCCTCTTTAATTCTTTACACGGTACTGGTAGAACAAGGAAAATAAGTAAACTATGCCTGGGCAGGATTAAGCCAAGAAAAACTGTAGTGGAGATTTACAGCGATTCTGACTTGTGAATGGATAGTCTCTCCTGGTAAAACGAATCATCAGAGGCCTTGGGATCGAAATGACCTTAACCTATTCTCAAACTTTAAACGGATAAGAACTTAAGAAGTCTTAAACGCAGAGCTGCATTCCGACCATCCGATGGAGAATATACCGCTAAGATTACTGTAAGTAACTTCCTTAAAATCTGATTGGTTGTTTGCATATCAGTATTGCTGCGGAGCCTTTTGTTGGTCATAAAGCCGGCAGCTGTGCCGTGGTCAAGCTGAATCGGCCGAAAGTCTGGCCGTGCATTTAACCGCGCCGGGGCAGTCTACCCGGCGAACAAAATAAGCCTCGGTGTAATGGGCAACCGGCGTTTGGAAGCGCGTCTGTACATATCGTCGTACAATTTCCGATAAGCGTCCGTCTGCATGCCGACCGGATCCACTCATAACGCTTGCGCCGAGATTCCGCATTACGCACTGGCGAGACAGAGTTTGCCGACTGAGTCACAGAGCAGACAGAGTTGTCGGGTGTATGCAGCGATCCGTTTGGCTCAATGTTGCCAATCATAATACGCAGAATGACTTTAACTTGCATTGCACATATCGCATCTGTGTGTGTATGTATGTGTGTATATGCGTGTGTATACACGAGTAGTTTTGAGCGCATAAACGCCTAACCTAAACCGTATTGTGCCGATTCGCCGACTCGGGCAGTTAATGATCTTCTGTTGATGTACGCTAAGCTTCTTCCAATACAACATAGACGATACTTCGCCTGTCATAATTCGCCCCAGCAAAAGTAAGTTGTTGCTCTTATTTCGTTACCTAGTAAAAATATATTAATAAAAAACACACATACAGCGTATGTGTGTAGCGGAAAAGTGTGCCACAACGTGATTGACCACCACTTCGCACTTCATCACTTTCGCGCGCCGGGATCGCCTCGCACAGCGCTCATATCAAGATTTATTGGGGCCTGTGTGTATATATGTCTGATGATTATTTTGCGCCGTTACCGCGGTATTAATTGCCACCGACGCTTTCTGACAGAGTGAGTACACAACCGCTTATTGGCGTTCTTTTGTGCTTTGGCAGGTTTCTGTGTTTACAACGCCAGCGGACTGTCACGTGGGCTGTGTCGCCGAAGTGCCAACGGTCTTGTAGTATCCCCTCGGAGGTTCTCCCGGAACGGGAACGGAGAGTGTGGATGAGGTTCCTGTAAGCAGCAGCTTCGGGATGTGAAGGACGGAAGTGCAGGTAAGCAATGCGGAATTTTCGTTAGATTGTTTTTGCGGGGCGCGCGCTGGGGAAATGGGTCGTGCGGAGTGGACAATGCCTGCGTGGTTCCGTGTTGGCCCGCTACGGGCGTCAGGAAGCACTTCCGCCTGCATTGTCCTCGCAGTTCTTGCAGCGTTCTTCGCCGTTGCACTGCGCGAACTTTACCGTTTTTTATCTGAACTACATATTTTCGGAAAATGTTTGTGTTTGAACTTTTACATAAGCTTGGCTTCGCTCGTTTGTGCGAGTTTTACGGGGAAACGCTTATTTCTGTACAGCGAACGGGAAGGCTAATTATTCGTACAACCAGGAAAAATCTTGAAAATATTTTCATGAGTAGTAATGTTCCTGCGCATTTTTATTATGAATTGTTTTCCTTGGGTTACCAATCGAGTTTGGCGAGATTGGGCGTGGCCAGCTGGACCAATTCCACAGACTCCGCTGGCCCGGATACTGTACATAACCAGTTTCTCCAATGTGGCAATATTATCAATAAGTTTTCCGAGTTCCTCTTTCCTTGCAAAAATTTATTCCGTTGGAGCCATATTTCTAAACTGGAGAAGCAAAGATATTTACTAAAAATATATGTAAATTAGTTTATTACGAGCCTGTAAATTTTGAAAAATGTTATCGTGGTTTTTTGAAATTTAATTCTGTTTTTAACCTCGAAACCGCGCAATATAAAAATAGAAGTTTATTTCAAGTATACAAATTTTTTTCCTGGCACGTATGTATCGTGTATAATAATATAATATTGTTCTAAAAATAGTAAATCAGAGGCGAATAATTATTTTCAAAACATTTACTTGTGTATACTGTTGCATCTGTATGTTTTACATCAGCCAAGGTTATTTCGTAATTGTTGTTGATGAAATTAAAACGAACCTTCTGCTGTGAAAAATAATTATATCCCAATTTGTCAGCATTTGTTATTTCATAGAGTAATTATATGTAAGTAATTAAGGCGTCAGTTATGCATTGAAATCTGAATAATATTCGCACAGCCAAGTGCTTTCTGCATGGGTTAGCAGTATATTGTCAGCAGCACACGTCGTCTACCTTTGCACCGGCTGAGATATTGTGCCTGTGCCATTGTGGTGGCTCCATTTTACGTAACGGCTAATTTTCCATGATACAGTTGTTGGGGAGAATAAAAATGCCAATCCGACAATCAGGTGCCAAATTTTTCCATCTGCATGCGCGCATTATTATTGCTGTTGCACATAGCGGAGAAATGACGCTGAATTTTACTATACAGTCTGTACAGCCAACCCACTGCCAGATGTAAATGTTGAGACAGGAAGTTAGTTGTTGTCTTTGGAATCTCGTCAGACTTTTTTTCCGCTATATGCTGCCATTTTTATCGTTCTTATAATTATCTGGAGCGCTGTTCTGGTCACGCCTCGTAAGTAGGGATTTTTCAACACCGAATAAGATGACACCATGCACTTTTGCGTAAATTTAGAAAAAAATCATATACACAAACAAAGCAAAACTTAAAAAAGCGTATTGGGGTGCCTAGAAAAAAAATCATTTTATTTTGCTTTAAATGTATTTTATTAAAAATTGTTGGAAATATTGATTTTGGGTTCAAAATTTAAGAAAAATTTGAAGTGACAGCTGTAAAATTATAGCATCTGTTTAGCGGTTATTTCTTCTTCATGTTAATTAAGGCCGACATGGATTACTGACATGCTCACTGTTAAATGTTGTTAGTGAGTATTAATTTTGTAAAATAAAAACGTTTACTTAATGTTAAAAGTCTTTTACGGCCATGCCGCGGACGCCAACAGATCGTTACAACGGTGAACCGAAAACATGGAAAATCGGTCGAACAAAGACAACGCGCACATTGCAATTAGACATCATAGTGTACGTAACACGACTGGAGATTCCATCTCAAACTGATGCAACAATTCAAGTGCTACACCAAACAAACCGGTTGCCACCGGTAAACGTTAGCACCATAGAGGCCGGTCAAACGGTTTTCTCAAAGGGGGGAAAATGCCGTTTGCTACCTGACCAATTCAGTGGAACTTATGGCTTTACTACTGCGGTGTTTTTGCTGCATAACCGCTTAACCGCAAAATGGCGCCAATGCACGATGATAAATACAAATAGAAACAAAATTCATAAAATTAAGCAGAAACCTGGACAAGAATCTCCGTAATAACTGTAATCACAGTTGTTGGCCATGGATTATTTTCCAGGAAAATCGACGTATTTTTGGAATGACATCGAAATCAGATCGATTTTCCTTTAAAATATTTTCCCAGAAATTACGAAATTCTGAGAGTTCGAATCAAAGAACAGTAATTTATATATAATCAACAGACTGTTACCATTTATTTTTAAGGATAAACCACTGTTCTCATTTCCCATTAAAAAAAAAGTATACGTGGAACGAATTTTTTTCGTTACTTTCAAAATCCGCGCATTTGCGCAGCTGGAGCAGAATCCATAAGGTTTTTTTTATAAAGTAAACCGGCCTAGTTATAATCCAATTTCTAAGTAATTTCCTACGATGCCGAATCCTGTATTTTTTTCCCGGCAATGCCGGCACCATCCCGCAACCGTCCGACTTCCGGTTGGTTGGATGCGGATGAGTCCGGAGAGCGTTGGTGTACGTGTGTGTTTTTCACCGCGATATACAGTATCCCGTCCCACTTCGATCGCGCTCGACGGCGTCGTGACGGCGAGCAGCCGGTTTCCCCGAAAACACCCGCTTCCCCTGCGCTCCCTGTTTGGCTGGCGGATGTTACCGGCTAAATGGCCGGGCGCAACGCGGCAAACGCCGTAGCTGCTTGACGTCAAGCGGCTGCTGATGTGTTGTGAGGTGTAGCAGCAGCGGAGTCATGATAGTAGCACACACGAATGAACTTATCGCTGCGCCGCGGACCCACTCATAACGCAATCTATGACGACGGTGCTGGGCCAACATTGGGTGGTTGTGTAAGTGCGCGCGCGCGCGCCTACCAAGAGGCCGGGAAAAGTTGAATGCACCGGTGTTTCGGTGAGAAATCCGATCATCTTCAGGTTGTTGGGTGATTGACGGTGAAAAATAACTTGCCGTTTATGTAATACGCTTTTCCATATACCACAGCATTTTTCGCTTCGTTCGGAACATAATTACAAAAATGCTTATAAAAAATCAATTGACCACGTGTTTTAATCGTTGAAAAAATTAAAGATAAAACTGTAGAATTTCACAAAATAAATCTAGCCTAAACTATTGTGGTTTTGTATTTCGATTTTTTTAATAATAAAGCGACAGCTTGCATTGGTTAAAAAATTGGAAAAAATGAATGTATGTGGATTTTTCATTGCTGCATTTTTAGAAAATTAAAATTTAAATGGCTTCCGTTGGTAGCGAGTGCAGCGAGGCAGATGCCGGCTGCTGTGCTGTGTTTGTCCGAATGTACTGGTACATGAATGACCGAGTTTATCGAATGTGTGTATTAAGTGCAAACCGATCAAGCAACATGGCCCGGCGTAGTCAGCACACCAAATGGCCGGATATTTTTCCCAACTGCATCAACCGACTACCAGCGGCAGTGGCTGTGTTCCCAATATGAGTCAGTTACAAAGCCGTTTGCCGGCTCGGATCAAGTAGGGAATAACTCCGGCGGGGGCGGAGCTCCAGTCAAGCGTGCTAACACGTGCACATCCTTATCTACATGATAAAAGTTATTGGATGATTAGCTTCAATTGTGAATATTATCGAACATTTAATGGTTTCGGGATTTTCACGCGATGTGAAAATTTTTGCCGGGGTAAAGTGGCTAATGCGGACGACGTAAAAGTGTGGTTGACGTCTACTGCATGTATTCAGTTTAAAACTATTTGACTTTTTACAAAACCTAAATATTTGTTGTAAATTTTTAAACACTGAAAACATTTTTTCTTATTGAGAAATAAATTTCGTCGGACCTAACAAAGTTAACAAAAATAGTGGAAAATGTTTTGAGGTATTATTAGGAAATAAAACTGACCTTCGAAGTTTAAATAACAGGTCGATCGGGCGCTGAATAAACGTCAGAATGAATAACCGACTTAATAAGTGGTGTCTCCTACATAAATATTTAAAAGTAATGATACAGTGCAAGGAATAGCCATTGATTTGCAGATTTGCACTGTGTGGTCGACACTGACTGAATGGGCGTTACCGGTGAGAAAATCATCCTGGGTTTATATTCCCACTCAATCGTGCCCGAGTCAGACTCAACAGTCACATGTACATACATCAATAAAATTTCTGAGAGGGTATTCTGATTTCTTTTAGCGTACTTGTACATTAGTAATACTAATTTGTGCAACACAAGTTTTATTTTAAGGGTTATTTTAAAAATGACACTGAAAAAATTCTGACAGCTGAGAATTTTCCGTTCCTGTGTTTCCGAGTTTTTTAAGACTGTTATTTATCTGTCTGAACGTCAAAGTATGGTGAGTGGCAATGATTTAATTTTATCAGCATGATATAAAGCTGTATCCAAGCGCAAAAATGCGATTTCAGATGTGACGTACCGTAAAACGCCGTTATCGGCATGTTTCTACGTCACTTAGACCCCATATAACAACACCTAAATATTTGAAGCAGTGATCGTAAAATCCCTTGTTGACTGTATTTAAAAGCACAGTGTAATAATACACAGTTAATTTAGCCGCTGAATACGTATCACTGTATGTGGCTAATCTCTGTGGATGTACGCACTGTGCAGCGGCAGAACCGGTCCCGCGAAGAGCACACTCAGAAAAGCGGCGGGAAAAGTGATTTAAAAATCAATAAAATATTTGCACCCCCTCGCCAACCGGACAGATAATGCCTGCCCGGATAATTCCCAGTGTCTACACAGGGTGGAAATGGTTATGCTGTTGCCGCCGCGCTGCCCTCAGCCGACAGGCAGCACATCGGGCGGAATATATCATAATCAAATCGTCAATACAATACACATACATATACACATACACAGATCCAGTGT